CAGTCCACAGATCAAGAACACCGAACATCTTTGATCCTACAAGAGCCGGATCATCGACAACCACCCTAAAGGATAAAAACTTACATGCTGATCATCGTCAGTGAGCACTCCTTCGCTGAGCCATTCCTCTTGACCTTCTTCAAGCGCCTCTCCTCCCAGGTACTGGGATTTAATCTACAAGTGTTGTATGATTAAATTTAAATCTATGACATTCAAACACAATTATGTTTATTGTTCATGAATAAATGATGGTGCTCGCTTGTTCTAATCAACTGATGATTTAAAGGGCTAGATCTGATTTTTATTATAAACAAAAGATAAAGAAAAAAAGAAAAAAATGATCAAATAACAATCTCGGCTTGCAAACAAAACTGGCATTCACAATCTAACTCCTACTGCATAGATTTTATTCACTAAATAATTACCATTAATTACAGGTTTGTTACCATGGTTTGAGTGCTTTTTGTTTACCCAATATTTCGCAACGGTTACACACTCCATGGTCACGGGTTCAGTGTTGGGTGACTGGACAGTCAACTCGTGATCATAGAGTGTGTAACTGTTCCAAAATATCGGGAAAACAAAAAAATTAGCACCATAGTAGAAAAATAATGGATATTAACTTCGTACAAACGTAGCACGGCTTGTGTGTGTACGCGCACACCGTGCGCCGTGTACGGAAGCACACATTTGCATAATCTACGACTGATCTAGCGTTGCATAACACTGGTCGTCTCAACGAGCCTTTCATTATGCGGCGGCGGCGGTGTGTACGCAAACACATACCAGTCGCGCCGTTATTTTGTACGGAGTTATCCTACTTGTTTTATTCTACTATGCTTGTACTGTGGTAAGAAACCTGTAATTAGTGACAACTGCTATTGATTTAAAAGAAATGACAAACTTTGCCACCCCAGTGCTTTGGTTCAATTTACATTGGCACTGAATAGAATACAAGCGAATTTTTCTAATGAAATACCACTTAGCATCATGAACTCTATGTCAATTGTGTAATGTTTTGATGACCTCTGTGGGCCGACTGTTTGCAATGTGGATGATGGATGACGACTGCTCGAGTTCGGTTCCTGGTAGAACCAATTTGGAAAATAAACTTTTCTAAGTTGTTTCTGATTTGGGTGTAGTGACAACCCTAATGCACAAATAAATAATGACGTCTGGCACATTATCATTATTATTGATGAACATTAATGACTTGTAGCCAATTATTATAAAGTTTACAAAATACCTATCAATACATACCTATGATTTATGAATTAATTGATTCGGTTTTTGAATCTTAATGCTTACTGCTGGATAGTAGGTAATGGTTGACGAAAAGGAACAAAATTTACTGCATGTGTGTCTCATTCAGGATCTATTTCTGATACTGAACTTAATTACCACTCAAACTCGAATCTGTACAATATCTCTCTTCAAATCAAAAAATCATTAGGGGTGACACAGTTTTATACATAATAATTATTTTTTTTATAATAACGCACACACTCAATATAGCCCCGCACTAGGGAAACCCTGTGTCGCGGGTGCCATGGACACACATAGACAACCACAAATTACACCCAAACTCACGAGAGAAATAAGTGTAGGTCATACAAATATTTCGCCCGGCCCGGGAATCGAACCTGGGACCTCTGCGTGGCAGTCCGGCATGGTAACCGTTCGGCCACTGAGGCAGTTATTAATTAAATACTGATAATTTTGACAGATTTGAAACAACTTTTCAAAAAAATTTGTAAAGTCTGCTACATTGCTAGGAATAGATCTGGATACACATTTGAATTGGAAGAACATATACAAAAAATACTAAATAAACTATCTTCTTTATTTATGCACTACAACACCTCAAACGTGTAACAGACTATAGGACTGGCTTTGCGGCTTATTATGCACACGCGCATTCAATGCTATCGTATGGTGTTATTTTGTGGGGAAATTTCTGTGATGTGGACAAGGTGTTCATACTGCAAAAAAAAGTGTATAAGGATAATAACGAATATAGACCAAATGGAATCTTGTGGACCTCATTTTGTTAAGCGTGAAATACTGACCGTTACTTCTCCCTACATTCTCGAGTAATGTAAATTTGCTTAGAGTACCTTTCTCTAAAATGGAATTAGTGACATTTGGTCTGCACACCATGTTAATTAGAATTTATAACATACCAAATTATATTAAAAACCTGGAAAGACTTACACAATTTACTAAAGAACTAAAGGCATTTCATGTTAATAATATATAATAATGTTATTATGACTTACATGAATTTTTTGACAATACATATGATAACAAATAACAATAAAAATACTCCGACATCTCTCATTAATAATTATTGAAATTGATGTATTGCACAAAGTAGGTTTTCCATTAGGTACTAATTAAGAATAATGCAATGTAATAATGTGTAAGTAAGTAATAATTTAATGTTATGATATTATATTGGAATGTAATAATTTAATATAATTAAATAGTGTGATTTATGAATTTAGCCCTCAGATGTTGCTGCGCCCTTGCAGGGCGTCACATGTATACCATCAAATAATGTTGCATCTTAAATTTGTAATGTGATATGCAATAAACAATTGAAATTGAAATTCACACGTCGGACACTCCTTACAACAGTCAAAAGTTATTTACCTACTACTACTTACATACAGCAAGGCGCTATCTGCACATGCACAAATGTGTGTGTGAAGTGGCAGGGTTACCTATCGCTTTCTAGTACCTACCTAGTAGTTACCTAGTCAGAGCGGCAACATAGTGAAAATTCTTAAGCCACTCTGTTATCTTTAATTCTATTAATAGACTCCTAATAATTACACATGTTCATTAGATAGGTATTTATATCAATATAATATTACATTTTTCATTAATTCACTAACTGGAATAATATTGAAGATTTCTTTGAAAAATATATTAAAAGCACTTAAAATGTTGTCTTTTGGACAGGTACTTTTTTGTTCTCTGCTTCTGTGGCCTTGGTAAATGAACATTTTTCAGCTTAAATTTCTCGATAATTATCATCCGCGGAGCAAATTTAGCAAGAACAAAAAGAGTTTATTTATATCTAATATATTCGAAATAAATGCTAAAAACAATTTGAAACAAAATTTTTAAAAAAATTAAAAAGCCCCCTTTCCTACTGTCTGACCACAATTTCGTTACCTACAAAAATTCGATTTTAATCCGTTCTGCGACAAAGTAAATTGAGCCTTTGGGCTGTTTGATCACCTCTACTGGGATTGGCATCCCTTAACCGTTAATGTGTTTATAGGCAGTGTACCCAAACTTCAAGGAAATAATACAAATGGAGAGGTCCCAGAAAATTATGACATTGATGGACATGTTTCAGTTCTGTTCTAGGTGTTTACAATTGTTTTCAAAATCTCGACACAAAACAAAGCCGATGACGAATTAACAACACTTTTTAATGAAACTTACTTCGAATTTTGTAACTTTCGATGGCGGTTCACCTAAATCAGCCATTTTTGTACTTTTTCTAACTATCTCAAGAATTTATTACACAAAAATTACTTAATTAATAGGGAGAAACAATATTCCACACATAACCTATAAAATCAATAAATGATTAACCGTATCAATGGAAAATCTTATGATTTACACAGCACGACTAAAAAGTAAAACGCCTATTAACATTGATATCATAATATGTACATGCAATGACAGTTTAACAGCTGTTTTTTTTTTTTTTTTAATTTATTAAGGCTTTGGCAAAGCCATTAGCCTAAACATGAAGTTTAAATTATGTTTCTGTAAATATGGCCGCCACAAAGAGGATAGGCAATTTGAGGCGGCGTGCTTGGATTGACTCGGGATTCCATAAAACGGGCTGATACGGGTATTCTAGTTTGAGATTCGTATAATTTCGCGTTTTAATCTTCGATTAAGGCACAATAGCACTATCCTATTCCACTTTAAACTAGATTTCACAAAATAATTGAAAGTCAAAATAAAAACGACACTTTTCCCTCCAAAAGGTCCAGAGCGAATCCTTAACAGCTGTTATTGCTATTCAAGGCATAGATTAAAACACGAACAGCCACGTTTAAGGTAAAACTAAAAAATTCGGTTGCTGAGTAACGAGTTTTAGAAAATGTTTTGTCAATAATGTCACTTGATTAAACAAACCATCCATTTGAAGTTTTTGTTTGATGGTGTAAACGGTGTTTTTGTACGAAATGAGTGGGGCTACGGTTCATGAAGGCCCAAGAAAGGGTCTCGTATTTGAGTCCAGAGCACATGATTATTTGTATGGTAAGCAGAACCAACCGAATAAAATATGATTTTGAAGCGCTATACTTGGCTATACTTCTATTCTTTCGCATAATAATACATATTGCTGACCGCGACCCGAGAGACAAGTTGACCATTGAACCATAGAAAATGTTGGAATCTGTTTTTAATTATTATATATTTTAATTTAGGCATTTGTATTTGTCTTATTTTTTAGATTCTGCGTACATAGTGTCCGGCGCTCGCGACTACGCAAGGACTGTGTTCAAAGCCGCCATGGGTTCTGCACAACCGGTAAATTATACTCCTGTTTTTATAATAACATGTACATGGAAGGTAATGAAAATTATGATGGTAATGAGATTATAAGAAATGGTAATGATAATACGTATTCACTTTTTGGGTTTTTGTGATTGCTAACACGTATATTAGTTTTTACAAACGAACGAACGTTGTGTATTATTCATAGGTCCCATGGTCACAGCTACCTCGTTTAATGGACAAAATAAATGTATGCGATTTAGGTCCGAAAAAAAACATTTTATTTCCGTGGATAGATTCGAGTTACAATTTTCTATGACAAATTTGAAAAATAGAAAACAGTGTTATATTTCGAAATTTCTTCTTCATAGATAATCCAACCAGTGTACAAGACAATGTTTTCGGAATTGAGAAAGTATCCAAGAATGCGAGTTGGTAAGTTTTAAATTGGAACTGTAAATTTATTACAAAAATTTTTTGTTTGCCTAGAAATAATGTAATGACAGACAACGATGACGATTTTTGACATCAGTGTAAGGGTCGTATTCCAAAACTCAGGACTAAAGTATGCTGCCAAACACTGGAAACACGACCCTAATGGCAAGGACTTGAGTACGATTTCCAGTGCTTCAAATCATACTCAAGTCATGACTTGAGCACTGAGTAGAGTTCTGGAATACGACCATTAGTGTGATTTCCACCTCTTCTAAGGGTCGTATTCCAGAACTCTACTCAATGAACAAGTCAGGATTTGAGCAGACTTGAGTATGATTTCAAGCACTGGAAATACGACCCTAATGGCAAGGACTTGAGTATGATTTTCAGTGCTCACTGCAATACTCAAGTCCTGACTTGAGTATTGAGTAGAGTTCTGGAATACGACCCCAAGTCTCGTGTTGTCAGTACAAAAAAATAGTTTATTAAAATTCCCTATCATGAAAGGTTGAACAATGTTGTTCTCACTCCTATGCACTTCTACACGGTAAAAACAGATTACTTAGAAAAAGACAAATTCTTTTTATGAAGACAAATTTATTAAATCCAACAAAACGATCCTCTCCCTATAGACGCTAGAGAATAATTACTTGATAATAGTAAAAAAACGTCTCAAAAATGTATTTTAGTTATAAGACAGAAATATTTAATCCAAGAGCAAATTAATTTACTTCAAGTCACAAAGCCACTCTCAAATCAACAAAATATTTATTAGTTACTAGAAATGTCCGATTTTGACTTGAAAAACAAGAATGAAAAATTGAGAGGTACTTAATTATTTGACTGAAATTTATGTTTTCTAATATCAAAAAGGGTAAATTTACAGGGTTATGGACCCAACAGTATGTCTCACTGGCGTGAAAGCACACACGTCAGTGCCAATTGCCAAACCTTAAAGTAGCAGAAATAGGACGGAAAATACTTTGGTATCATTCAGTGCCATATAAATGCTACAGCGGCATAAAGCACTAACAATTTTTTTAAATTTTTTTATGAAGGATATTTTGCAGTTGGCCGCTGATGGCCTTGACTGCGCCGTAAAGCGGATGGAGCGTATGGCGTACTGCGGAGTAAAGGGCGAGCTAAAGGCTCATGACCCCTAAAATAAACTTAAAGCTAAGTAGCGGGCCTGAGGGCGCCCAAGTGGGCACGGACCTCGGCTCAGGGCGCTACTGGAGACTTCCGCCAGAAGGGCGTGCTGTAGGAGAGAATCTACCAGTGTACGTGCTGAAATGAGGGGCTCTACGACCTCGCCGGCGAGGATGGTTGGTGCGTGAGAGACGGGACTGACTAGCGATCTGGTTGGCCTTCAAAGTGGCGAGAGTGATAAGGTCGTCAGGGTACTTTCTTAAGGACTTCCCTTGGCCGACGGGTCCTGTTTACGCGGTGGGGTTGTTCCCTGAGGGGGTCGTAAGAGGATGCAGCCACCACGAGGGGGTTGGGGTGGTGAGGAGCAGAGTGGAAGTATTTCCTCGAAGCCTGTTTCATGAATTGGGCTATTGTGGGGAGCCGTAAATCTATGTGGAGGTTAGCGTTGCGCAGGTACCACGGGGCACCCGTCGCGTTGCGCATGAATCTATTTTGGAGAGCCTGCAGGCGGTGTATTAGCACGGGATTTGCCTGAGCTAATGCGACGCTGGCGTACGTCATGATTGGGCGGATGCAGGTCGTGTACAGTCTCACCTTATTGCGAAGGGAGAGTTTGCTATGCTTGTTGAGAAGGGGATGAAGCGGGCTCATATTAAAGTGGGCGCGATCGCGGACGGTTTTCACGTGTGCTTTGAATGACAGCTTCATATCGAGCGTAACTCCTATTTATTTCCTTTTTATCCTATTTATGTATTTGACCGTGTTCACCCAAGGGATTAGGCGGTCAAAGAGCGAGATCGGGGTGAGGTCTTGTACCCTACGACTGGATAGGTTACTTCGCGTGAAGAATACCGCCGCGCTTTTGTCGGGATTGACTTCGATTCTTCATCTGCGAAACTACTCGCCTAGGCGTGTGGTGGCAGATTGGAGAGCCGCGGAAACTAGCTTGGAGCTGCGCGCTGAATAGTAGAGCGCAGTGTCGTCGGCAAAGAGGGCGAGATTTACTGCCTGATACTTCAGGATATCGCAAGTGTACAGGGAGAATAGGAGAGGCGAGAGGACAGAGCCTTGGAATCCCTCCAGCTCTTACGGGTTGAGGGGAGGAGAGTGCGCCCTCAACTCGGTAGCGGAAAGAGCGGTTCGACAAGAAGTCACGAATGATGTGCACGAGACGATCAGGCACGCCGAGATTGTACAGCTTGTAAAGTAAGCCGTTGTGCCAGACTTTGTCGAAAGCTTTTGCCACATCGAAGAAGAGGGCGCCGGTGGGCATGAAGCGGGAGCGATCGAAACCTTCGGAGATATGTTCCACTATCCGGTGCACTTGCTGGACGCATGAGTGCCTAGCTCTGAAACCGAACTGTTCGTCGGGGAGGAGATTGTGAGACATGACGTAGTCTCTGAGGCGGGCGTATAGGATGCGCTCATAAAGTTTGCCCATGGTGTTAAGCAGGGAGATGGGACGGTAACTGGAGAGTTCAGATGGAGGTTTCCCGGGCTTGTGAATACCGATGACCACCGCCTCTTTCCACTTTTGCGGAAAGATGCAGTTGGTCAGAGCGGCGTTAAAAATTGCAGTCAGGAGACAGATGAGGGCTGCTGAAAGCTGTTTAAGCACCTTGTTGGAGATACCGTCAGGACCTGGGGCTTTGCGGGGCTTAAGGTCCTTTATGAGGAATTCCACTTCCTTTGTGGTGACCGGGGGGAGAGGAGAGTCGGAGGGCGGGAGGGTTGCTCTGAGTTCGACCTCGGATTGTGTGGGCTCGAGCCCCTCTAGGAGCTTTTCCCATCGACTTTGACTTACTTCGTCCATACGCGTCTTTACGTCCCTCTGTAAAGCCCGCAGGAAACGACGGTTTTCGTCTGTGGGGTAAGAGTCGTAAGCACGACTGGCTGCGTTCTTTTCCTTTAGAAGGGCGCACATCCTCCGGTAGGCTCCAGAGACGGTCGTCTGTCGCCGGTGCTGGCCGGGAGCTGTTACAAACGGCGGTTTGTATGTGTCCCTCTAGACGGTCAATAGCACAGTTGGCGTCTACGACTAAAGAAATCTCGTCCGGAATCTGAACTAGGTGTTCAGACTCGAGGAAATTGAGGTCATGACTCAACTTCCCCCAGTCCAACACCGATTTAACGGGGGCGCAAGGGTCAGGGGGGGCTATATCCGAACGAGGGGAGAGGTGAAGGAGGACAGGGCGGTGATCCGAAACTAATTCATGAACGACGTGGATTGAGTCTAATCTGAGGTTAATATTTTTGAATAAAGCTACGTCTAGGATGTCGGGGCGGTAATTTACGTTATGCGGATAGTGGGTGGGCTCTAAGGGTGCTATTATATCGAAATGCATGGATTCGGATAGCGTCATGAGGGTGTTACCGCGCGGGTTGGTGGTGTTACAATTCCATGCAGTATTTTTGGCGTTAAGGTCGCCAGTCAGAATTACAGAATCTCCTAGGGAATAGAGGGCTTGCAGATCTTCGCGAATTAGCGATCGGGAAGTATCAGGGGAAAGATAGGCCGAAATGAGGGTGATCGGTGGGTGACCGGTGGAGCCGAGCCGACACGCCGATGCTGCGATGTACGTTGTAGGGGGTGGGTCGAGAGGGATGCAGTGAAGTGACCGTTTGTAGTATATAATGGTACCGCCGAGAGGCAAGTTTAATCTATCGTTGCGTACCGCGCAATAGTTGGATAACATGGGGGTTCGAGCGGAGGGTTTTAGGAAGATTTCTTGAATGAACAGGACATCGAGTTGGTGGTCTGTGAGGAAGGTTCGAACTTCCTCGCGTTGGCTTGATAAGCCATCCGCGTTAAAAAAGCCTAGCTTTATTGATCGTGACTTGACTCTACTCCTACTGGTTAATGAGTCCATTTAGAGGGAGAACGAAGAGGCGGAGAATTTGCTCAGTGACTCTACGAGCGAGCTGAAACGCGACATGGCTTGAAGACGGGCAGTGCCGTTTCCGTCAGTGGCCCGGAGGAGCGTGGCTAGATTTTTTACTTCGAAGACGTCGAAGGTGCTAACAAAGTGGCTCACGAGGGCCAGGTCGTCCTTAAGGGAGTGAGTCGGTGGTGGTATCGCGGTAGGTCGATGCGCAGAAGGCGCCGATTGTGCTTTTGCCTTAGGGGCAGCGGAGGCGATGGGGCTTGCCTGCTTCGGAGCGGCGGGCGCAGGGGCGTTGGCGCGAGGGATTGCCCACGGTGATTGGGGCGATAGTGGTGCTGAGAGAGCAGGGCTGATGGCCGGGAAGTCGATGTGAGGTTGTGCCCTAGCCTGCTGATGGGCCGCAGTGCGCGCCGCCACCTTGTGGTTAGGGCGGGGGGCCTTAGCACAACCGCGATAGTTCGTGGTGTGAGACTCCCCGCACAGAACACACCGAGGAGGCTCGGTGCACTAAGACCTGTCTTTAGGCCTAGGGCAGGCTGACGTCGCGTGGGAGTCTGCGCATTTAACGCAGCGGGGTTGCGAGCGGCAATTACGGGCCGCGTGCCCGTACAGTTGACAATTGTGGCATTGCCCGGGCATGCCACGTTTGCGCGGAGGCTCAACGGTTAAGCCGGTGAGTTGGCAGCAGGTAGTAAGGTTGAAGACCTTCTTACCTTCGGTTGTGAGGGGGACTAACAATTTAAAATATATGAGATGACTTTATAGTATTGAAGTTAACAAAACGATAGCGCGTTTCAGAGTACAACTAATGCCATCTAGCAGTGGCGCGATACGACTAATTGCATGTAGAAGTTGTACTTGTTACAAGTGTAGTTTGATTTCATGCTAAAACCAAATTTCTTAAATTATGACTGCAAATAACACACTATGACTGCAAATAACACACTAACAAACTAGAGATACTACGTATTGTTTCTTGGGATAAATGACTGTTTATGATTTTTATGATTACAACCACAAGTAAAAGTAATCGTTACCGCGTGCGCCTTCGGCGACAAGTCACGACAAAAATATGAATGTAGAATATAAATCTGAATAGCAAAGAATTTCTTTTTTGTTTAAGAATATATTTTCTTAAAATACACCCAAGAAATTTTGAATTAATTTAAGATTATTTAAATTTGAGATAAGAGGTAAAAATTTCTTGATATAAGTAATGTCCAATTAATTGATTAGAAATGAAATAAAACCTTGAAGAGAACGTATTTGTCTAAAAGTTAGAATAAAGTTAAGAGTAAAATTGTATTAGAAAAAGATAAACAGTATTTTTGTAATGACAATATTTTATTACTTTTAATAAATATTTTTTGAGAATTAGCAAATATTTTGAGAAATTGCTCTTTCTTATTAGTAGAAATCCTTTTTTTCTATGTAGAAATATTTAAGTTTAAATTTAATTTAAAATTAATATATTTCAGTGCTCCATCAAAATTGCCGGCTGCCAAGCCACCTGGACAGATCTTACAACGCTTACCTCGCCAGAGTTGAGCATGCCACAGTTAGTCCCATGCCAAGTCTCACGGGAAAGGATCGATTCAAGTTTTGCACTCTGTAAGTTACCATTATAATTAACTCACAAAAACTACTTGGCAATAATAATTTTGCCAATTTTTCGTTCTATGACTACGTTTCAAGCTTTAAGTTCCAAAATGGTAGTTTTCTATTAAACACTTTTATTACAAAACGACTAAGTTGAATATTTTGTGTCAAAAAATCGTGTCGTCGATATATCCGTTGTTTGCATAAGCTCGTGACGTGAATTCAAGTAGAGAAATAACTACACCACTTAATTGGAAGCATAAAAACGTATTTTATTAAGCAGGAAATTAGAAGGTTAAAGACGCTGATAAAATTGCAGGCACATGCGACTGTCAACTTACGTCTCAAGATAATGGGCACAGTGGCAGTACCCCTCAGATCTTTGCGACTTAAAGCTCTGGGTGACACTGTAATTTATATGGACATGCGTGTCGCTTACCACCACGCACATGACTTGTTCGTTCTAGCACTTGGTATCATAAAAAAAAAATAGGTTAAAATTGAATAGAAAAATTTATTTCATATTATCACTGTCATGCTACAGTTAATAATACAATGTCAAGAGATAATATGATCGTCACTAACGCAAACAATAATAATTAATATAAAATAAAGTAATATAACTACTGCTTGTCTAAATACAACGAAGTCAAGTAAATAAAATTACAATAATTTCAAAAGAAACCACTGTAGAATTCACTATCCAATAAAAAGATTTTAGTCAGGTATCATACGTTACGTCTTTTATAATACTTTTCAGGTTTGTGGGTAGATATTCGTAGAATCGGGGACCTATTACCTGCGTATTTCTCGTTACGAGTTCGGTATGGTATAATAATAATACGGTATAGTTATAATTATATAATAGGTATACTTTTAGTAACATTGAAAAATTAAGAACTTATAAAATAGGCAATAACAATTATAGGTGTAATGTCATACTCGTTATCGTAGAATTAAAATAAAATTAGAGGTCGTTTAAGACTTTTGCCAAGGTTTACCAAGCGTAACGATTAAGTCACATCTTCTATTTTTTTGTAGAGGCCTATGTATAAATAAAGAGCTTTATTTAAGTCATACGCAAGAGAACATAAAGTAAATTAACATAATACCAAATGAAGAAAAAAGCAAAATGGAATCAATTGTTTAAACGTGCCATATTGCACTACTCATTTAACTAATGACACAGCACAAAGCCATAGCAAGATTGCGGTATTGGTATAATAATAATAATAATAATAATAATAATAATAATAATAATAATATAATTATTTATTCAGACAACAACATAATATGGTCCATTAGTGTTAGTATCTTACCAAAATTAACTTAAAAACTATGTTAGTGACAAAGAAAAAATAATGAAATAAAATAAAAATACATGTCAATTCTTTCACTCGCATCCCAACCAAATATACTAACATGAGACTACTTGATCAGGACCCGAATGAAAGACTTCATTACAGGCAAGTCATATCGGTCAGGTATGACCTTTAGAATGCTGTTGGCGCTGCCCCGTAGTCTGCTGAGCAGTGAGGCTGTTCTTTTACGGATGATGGCGTAGAAATCATCCACCCGCGCCTCTGCAAACATGGTAGATGCACTGCAGAAACGAGGCAGCCCCATCAACAGTCTAAACCCATTATTGTACTGGACCCGTAGGGCACTGAGCGATCTTTTAGTATAATTGAACCACAGGCTGCTCGTATAAAAAGATTGGCAGTAGGCTTTGAAGAGTGTAATTTTTACTTGCCTACTGCAACGAGCAAACCTACGTGTTGGCACGTATATTACTTCTGATCGCCAATGCCCTACGTTCCCTTTCAATGTCCTCATGGTCATTAAGGTCGTCGGTAATATAATGCCCAAGATATTTAAAACTATACACACGTCAGATTAACATCATTAAGTTTAATTAATGGTACTGATTCAGGACCTTTACCGGCGGCCTTAAAGACCATGTACACACTTTTTCTACAATTATACACCAACCCATATTTGCCAGCATACCTCTCACAGATGCCCAGCAGTCTCCTGAGAGCCCCCACCGAAGGGCACAGCAGCGCCATGTCGTCTGCGTAGCTGATATTGTTTATAAAAACACTATCAACCGTGCAGCCAACACGCTCATTGCTGAGCTCCACGATCAGGTCGTTGATGTAAAGGTTAAAAAGCTTCGGAGAGCTCAGACCACCTTGTCTCACCCCGCACTCCAACCCGTAATCACCAGAAAAACTGCCTCACCATCTCACATTGTTTACCTGATTGGCATACCAGTACTGGAAGAGACGCTGCACCTGCGCATGCACGCCTGTGCCTGCCATCTTTTCCCACAACTTATCATAAGACACAAGGTCAAATGCCTTTGAAAGGTCAAGGAAGCATGCATACACAGGTGTACGTCTCTGTGTATAGTACTGCACAGTGTGCTTTAAACCCAGAATTGCAGTTTCAGTTGATAGGCCCTTTCTAAAACCGAACTGAGCGTCATGGATGTTTAAATGCTTGTCTAGTTCTGAGTCCAGCACACTATCCAGCACCTTAGCCACCACTGTAGCTAGCGATATGGACCTGTCAATACACATGCTAGTCAGCTCCCTACCAAACAATTTACTAGGGTTGGCATTAAAGTCTCCCAAAACGTATATTGCCTCAACCGAACTATTTTTTTATGTCAGAACCATGCTACAGATACACATAATCATATTATGTCGAATGTTATGCTCGTAGTTAATAACAATTACCACTTGAACATATACACATATATTATTTTCCTTTAACAGGCCCAAGAAAATTACGACGGCAATGCAGACTGTATCCCCGGAATTTCATCCGACGTCTCCCGTTCCAATCGCAACTGATTCTGGTAAACCCAAAAACAAGGGCACTCAGAGTTTGTACAGGTACAATTCTATTAATTATTTCAAGTCGAGCATAGTCAGTTATAATTTAGAATAAGTTACATTACAACATATTTTGAATTAAATGCATTAAATATTTGTAAAGACGGTTGCTTTGTTACTCATACCCCGATGTTAGGCTTCAATAGTCTATCTTTGTCATTGCTTTTTATGTATATTACCTACCTAATAGTGACATCTTTCTAACAAACTTATATTATATATAAACTTATATTATACTATATATTAAACACTATATACATCATTCGTCAATAACAAAGTTATTCCATTTCGTAGTGAAGAATTTTACTAACATTCACTCAATTCGCAGGGAATCCTCAGCCCAGACAATACCATGGCAGCCAGACGCAAAGCCATTAAATGACCAAAAGGGCACGCCCGAGGTTCTTTACTTGGACAAACTAGAGTGGGGTAAGACACATGTATTTCGGAGATGGTAATGAGAACTTAGATCATGGTAATAAAAAATGAGAAACGGTAATGATAAGTTAGAAATTAATTGCATTATGAATAAGGAATCTTAATTTGTCTATTTTTATAGGACCCGGGGATCCATATCGCACGGGTGACCTTCCAGCTGACTTTCATACTACTGAAATAATTAACAAGTAAGTAGGTACATGTTATAAGCGGGTGGTACACGAAAGGAATCCCTCTGCATGACGTATTATTATTATCTTATCATATCATATAATATGTTATATATCTATCCTGTACGTCTGGCGCACTCTATGGCAAGCAACATAATGTATGGCATCGGTACCGGAAAAAGAAGAATGAGTGGTTATTTATTCTCTAAGGCACTATTCCAAATTTTTTTTATATAATAACGCTAACATCGTTTCACGCGTCGAACAATATTATCTGCACATAATATTAATTTACTCCAATGTTACAGAATGCGCCACGCGAGGATTTGGACTGAAGTGGTGGAGGCAGGTGTTTTTCCACGTTGGATGAAAAACAGAAACAATATCATTCAAGACATTGAAACTAAGGATTGGGTATTTAGAGAGGCTGTAAGTTTATGAAGTCTTCATATTAATTTTAAGGGAAAACATATTTGATAATTTACTTTCTTAATAAGTTACGCAGATAATAAATATCTGGCGCTTACGACTTTTTACTCTATATTTTTTCCGCTTCATCCATATTTTTGGAAACTTCCTCAATTATTACATCCTATTTCTCTGACATTCAGAGTAGCAAATAGTCTTCTCACACCTCGCGTTAGATGCCACCGTGAGGCAAGGCGTGACGGTATCAACCGTGGACGCTATTGTTTTATTATTATATTGAAATTTATTACCATGTCACTGATAAATTATATTTGTTATGATATATTAAAATTATAATAGGAAATCGATGAACTCCAAGACATTCGCCTGACCCTCCTCCACAAACTACAGTTAGAACAGCGGCTGAATAAGTGCAATAAAACGAGCTTGAAACTTGCCAAGAGATGGGCCGAGAGAAAAAAGGAGATGGAAACCAAGATTGATCTCATAAGAAGAACGAGAGATAGAGGTATAATAAAATATTTAAGGTCATTCATTTGTGGTAGATACGTAAGTAGGAGGGACGAGTGAAACTACTGCTTGCTAATAGCGTACCGGCGTACCGGTGTATTCAAATAGCGACATTACATATAGGGGTGCGCTTACGCACACATATATAATATTCCTCCCCCTATCTTATATACACGTGATCTATTAACGAATACTAACTTATACGCTAGAAGAATTGTCTATAATTAACTGCAGGCCGATTGCGCTTCCTCCGGGGTGTAATTGGCATGGGACTGGCTCCGTCTGTCTGTAGCGCGGGCACCGCGATCCTTGATCCGGCAACAGGGCTGGCTTGAGCCCCCTGGAACTCGTCATCGTCTTCAGACTGTTCCTCCCTTAGCGGTATTGGCGAGCTTTGCGGCTCCCTTAGTCTTAACCCCGTGCTGTGCTAATTGGGGTTTGCCGGTGATCGAACAGGACCGGGACTACTTGCTATCTCTGAAGTATTTATCTACTTCACGTTCGAATGAGTGGGCAATTTCAAGTCCATCAATATCATTTAAAGTATTTACTGCATCATTCATTTACATTTACACAAGAGATAAGCACGTCAAATAAGAAACTAATTGATGTTGATTTCGAATATGGTACAATGTGGAAAAAAATTTGAAAAAGACAAAACTGAAAATATTAGTACACAGTAACAGCAAAAGAAATCAACGATGCTTTACTTACCTGTATGAAAATGTTCCAAAAACAGAGTTTCAACGAAGGTATTGATAATTTGCAGAATTGTAGAAAAATAAATAAGGAAAAAAAACTTACTTCTCTGAATCCATTTTTAGACGTAAATCAAATCTTCAGAGTTGGCGGAAGGTTACAAGGTGCTCAGGTTAATGAAGACATGGAACACCCGTTTATTCTCCCTCACAAGTCGCCGTTGACACAGTTAGTGATTGACGAAGCACATAGGGCTACGTTGCATGGAGGGCCTCAATTAATGCTTTATTATTTGAGAAGCTGGTGTTGGATTATTATCTCGTTCGTCGGTTTGTGTACAAATGTGTAACTTGCGTCCGCCACTTTGCTCAAACGAGCCAACAAATTATGGGACAGTTACCCATATTAAGGGCATAGACCTTTCCACAGATGCGGCGTAGACTATGCTGGCCCAATCAGCGTGCGCCTTCAAAGGGTCGCAGTTATCACTCCACACAGGGCTATATATGGCTGTTTGTGGCCACAAAAGCCATACACCTCGAAATGGTCAGTGATATGACTGCACAAAGCTTTTTAGCTACATTTAAAAGGTTTGTTGCACGAAGGGGTCATGTTGCAGATTTGTGGAGTGATAATGGCACTACCTTTGAGGGAAGCGCTAGGGAATTAAAGAAACTGTTAAATGCGGAAAGGTCTAGAGCTGTGTGCTGGTCTAGTTACTGATAATGGTGCATGACTAAAATATGTTTTGTATGTGTCTTCGGAGATCGCAGTAACGGCCGACCCGCTATCAATTTCAAATTTTAGTTGAACCCCCGATATTGATACCGTTTATGTCATCGGTTCTCCTTTAATTAAACAAATATTAAAACACTCACCGTCGTCGTCATCGCCCTTGTCCACAGCACCCGATTCTACATAGTTAATTTTTTTACACATCCTGCGTAGATGACCGGTAGATTTACACTTTTTACACTTAGACTTAGCGAAATGACACTGTGACTAGTCATAATTATAAAACCCGCACATTTGACAATGCTATTTGTCTACTGTAGCGACGGTTCGGGCCGAGATCACACGCCCCCGTGTCAGCAGAATTCTAAACAGCTGATCATGGGTTGGCGCGAGTTGTGCGGCAGCGGCGCCAGCGCGCGCGCGCCCTCATTTCTCTGCCAACTCGACCGCCTTGGCCAAAGTCAAGTCCTTAAGGTTATGTGCGAAGAGCTTATGCTTCTCGGGCCCCGATACCATGCCCATGACGAATCGATCACAGAGTGTTTCCTCCACGTTACTAAACTCATAATGCGCCGTCAGGCCACGGAGTGTCTCGGCCCACTGAGCGTACGTTTCTCCTTGTTGCTGCGTAGACGCATAGAACTTATAGCGCTCACCGAATCTACAGCGCTTCAGAGTAAAATGACTGTCCAGAACCGTAGGATATCATCGTAGGGTACGTTTTGTAACGGCTTAGGCAGCGCGAAATCCGCCGCAAGTTTGTGCGTACCATCACTGAGTGCACTAAGCAGGTTCGGCTCGCCTCTCGCTCTCCTCGTTCCCGCAGAATCGATTTTCTGGTCGATGTTATTTGCAATGAACCACTGTGATATACGGCACTTGTATGTTTCCCAAGTTTGGACATTGTGGTCCAACGCCGACAGGAGGCCGAAAATTGAACCGGACATTTTTTTGTGGGTACGAAACAACAACAAGTGGTTAGTCGTCGTACAACGAGTGGGTAGTCGTCGCTACTGGTAGATGCGTAAGTAAGAGGGACGAGTGAAACTACTGCTAGCTAATATAATACTGGCGTGTATTCAAATAGCGACATAACATGTAGGGGTGCGCTTACGCACACATACATAATAATTGGTGTATTATTTTTAGTGTCTAGGTTCTTAAAGATGTTTGACCAAATCAAGCCTTGATCAAACAAGCGAGCGAAGGCGAGAAGCAGAAATATAAAATGAAGTAAATTTAATACGTCTTATTAAAAATTACAAAAGCAATGTAATTCATCAATTGTTTTTGTCGTGTGGGAAGATTTTGAACTGTGTGTTAGTTGGCATGTTGACTGTCAAAATACATAGCATTAATACTGTTTTTCTATCAGAACTCCGCAAGTTAACCGCTCTCCACGGAGGCGGAGGTCACCAAGGTCAAGTACAGCGCCTACGGTCATCACGCGGCATGGGATCTATCACTAAAGCCGTGTTTGATCCCACTTCCGACACGTACGCACCAATTGTTAGACATGGGATCCAGGCGCGATTGAAGCAGACAGAGATTACTTATGATCCTTCGTTGCTACGTAAGTTGTTTCTTCGCTAAGTTGATAGTGTTAATTAGATAAGTAAATAGAATATTTACACACAGACACACACCCACATATAATTATATCTTCTTTTACGAAGTCGCCTAGTCGAGCATAAAAGATGGATCCAGAGACGGACATGTATCAAGTTTTCAGATTCTTGTATCTAGTAAAAATTTGTGTGTTTCTTACTAGAAATGAAACAGAGGATCCGTTGTTTAATTACTTCAGTGTCCCTCCGTCCTGTAAGGACTTTTATTTCAAACGTATTTGCTTTCCATTAGTACTGGAAGACCACAAAGCAATAAACGCAGTTCCAAAGTGGCTCTTGGAGTGCGGTCAAGACTTAAAGAAGACCTGTTCTGGACACCCACTTCCTCGCGACCCCATGGTTCTCTGTGAACGAGAGACCAAGTGGAGTGAGAAGTTTCTAGAAGTACTGCATGAAGATCTTAGAAGTAAGTGTAATTTGAGATCTCAAGCAAAAACTTAGAAGTATTGCTGATTTTATTACATAGGTACATTACATTTAGAACTCCGACAATCCTACGATTTACAGAGCCGTCATCCAGGACAGTCAGCAAATATCAATTTGAAACAACGGGTTGCAGTTTGGATCGTCCCTTAATTAACTGACAGACTATTTAGTGACAGTTACAACTCTGTGCCTTGCAGAAGCCCGTCTCGGCGCTGCAATGATATCAGCGGGTCCACTTCACGTGTTGAAGCCACGTCGTTTACTAGAAACACCCCGCCCAGTCACGCCTGAGGTGGACGCCATCACTGAAGCCGACGAAGAGTGCCATCAATCTGCATTGATATTGCAGAAAATAATCAGAGGACGCGCTGTGCAGTGTCTGGTAATTTTTTATGGCAGTAATGGGATGATTCAGATTCATTTATTTCTCAAATATAATATTACAGTATAAATTGCACTACATGTCAAAGTATAAGAAATTATATTGAGATCGTCAAACAATAACGAAAATTATAAGATGAAAAATACACAATAATTATAAAGTTTACAATTCATTAATTGTTGTCATTAAAATACATTTCAAATATAATTCTCCATCAAGGATCGTCATAAGTTGATAACAAATACACAGAATGGTAATGATAAAGTGTAACTCAATATGGGTTCACGGACCGTCATGAAATTATGTAACGAAGGTAATGAGTAGTAACAAATTGTCATTAACAAATGGGCATGGTAATGATAATAATTGTGTGTTTTGCGTATAAGTAAGTAAGTAAGGAGTTTATTTGTATGTACATAAAAACAAATACAAGGGGCACTATTCATTATTTAAAAAGATTTACTTGTATTTTTTCAAATCACCAACAACAATCGCCTCGCCAACTATACATATAAGGAAACAACGCTCCCTTATTCATTTCACTGCGCGATATAGGCATATTGCAGAGTTTTGTAGAATATTATTCTTGTATGTAGATTAATAAACGACTCAATTTTCATTTCATTAAATGATTTCCATCAGATGTACGAAGGGCGTACGCGTGCCGCCGAACTGACTGAAGAGTTGAAGACGACACACGGCCTGCAGAAGGAGGACAAGGTTCGAATTGCCATGGAGGAAGCTAAAGCCAGAGATTACAATGCACTAAGAAATGAAACTGAACAGAAGGTATGAGTAATAGTAATAGTAATAACGCACACACTCAACATAGCCCCGCACTAGGGAAACCCTGTGTCGCGGGTGCCATGGACACACACACAGACAACTACAAATTACACCCAAACTCACGAGAGATATAAATGTAGGCCATACAAATATTTCTCCCGGCCCGGGTATCGAATCTGTATAATCGAACCTGGGACCTATGCGTGGCAGTCCGGCATGGTAACCGTTCGACCACGGAGGCAGTTTCTCGGCAATGACCCTCGCGAGTCGAATTTTGGGGATTGTCGGGTATAGGCGTTGGATATTATGAGAAACCTTTTAATACTTTGAATATTTCTGATATTTTACCACTAGAACCTTTAGCTTTTCATATTTTGGAAAAAATATAAAAGAAAATTTTCTTTTTCTCAAATAATTATTCTTCTGATCTCCCCAGGATGACGCTGTGACCGCGTTAGTGGACGAGCTGTGCGGCGGCGCTGTTTCCGCGGCTTTAGACTTCCTTGAGAAAGAACTGCGAAGACTTAAAGAGGAGCGGCGGCAACATGCTTTTATACTTGTTGCATGTAATACTCTTGCCACACAGACGCGGTAGCGGGAGCGTTCCGGGGCCGGATTATTTGTAATGTTCGAGTTCATGCACCTTGCCACATTGAAACCGGATGGCTAAACGGTGCCGGCCGGAGCCGAATGCTATGACAAACACGCGCGGGATCCCGGGCCGAATGCGGCGCGGATGCGGGCGCAAAGCTGTGTTCTATTGAATTCTATACAACCGTCCACACAGAGCGGCAACGGCGGAGCGCGGTCCCGGAGCGGAGCTTTAGCGGGATTGCACGTCGTATTTTTTTACAACTCGTGTCTTTATTAACTTTCAGTATGAATTCGACCGAAATTTCTTTTGCGTTTCTTCCATAACGCGAATAAAAGCAGAATGTTTGTAAATACTTTAGATGGCCTTATGGTTCTTTCTTTAAAATCTAAGTAGAGAATGAAATGTGGTTGCTTTTGAGTGTCACACCAGCCGCCTTCGCGCCGCTGTCCGCCGCGAGCTATGCGTGAGACCGCTGTGTGGCACGCACCGGTATGCATTCGCTTCTGCCTTCGGACCGCCTTTCCCGCTGTACCGCGTATGTGTGACCTGAGCTTAAGTGTTACTACATTAAGAGCACTAATATCCGGTAGATTGATTGCTTTTCTATTAAGTGACTGCAGCGTGTTCATACCTCAATTTTTGTCGTTTGTGAATGTTTATTAGCAATACCTCTCGTTAACGGTGGTTACCCTTCATCATGAAAAACCTGTGTGTCGAAGAAGATTCACAAGCGTTAAAGGCGACCTGTGTCTAATGATTACTAACTTTATTGCTCGACTCATAAACATAACTTCTTCAGTGCCAATGTGTATATGACTTTAATATTTACTAGTAAGTACTGTCATGTCTTATAATGATGGGCACAGTGATAGTGGCCTTCAAATCTCTGCGATTGAAAGTTCTTAACTGCCACTTGCATCACCACTAAAGCACAACTTGTTCGTCCCATCACTTCTTATCACAAAAACTATCCACACCTAATCTTCAATTAAGTAAAAACCTTCGTCTGAAATCCCAGCATTACTGTATCGTAATTTGTTGTATATTTTTTAAGCGTAAGCGATTTTATTACGGGTAAATTTAGGATCAAAGTTGTGTAAAATTAAAAAAAAAAAAGAAAAATATAATTACTTTGTTTGGAATTTTTGGCTTTTATTTTTATATGATTAAAAATAAAAGCCAAATAAAAGCCGGGATTTCCGAAGGAGGTGTTATCCACTCTATGTTTATTACTTGAAGTTTAGATAAATATACTCTGCCTATTTCAATTTATAGCTATTATTTTTGACATAGTATTATTTATTAATGAATATTTATAATTATTGACTTTTTTTATGATACCAAGTGACAGGATGAACAAGTGTTGCGTCTGGCGGTAAGCGACACGCCTGTCCATAACAGTTGCAGTGCCGCTCAGAGCTTTAAATTGCAAAGGTCTGAGGGGCACTGCTACAGCGCCCGATGTGCCAGCAATTTCACCAGCACCCTTCAGAATCGAACCCGCGACCGCGTCCAGCGCACACGGATTTTGCCCAGGTCGATAAACAACGTCTAGTTTATGTCTTGACTACAGAGAAGTGTGGAGTACATAGCCCTTGCTGATTTTAAGTACGCACCAAAAATTTACAAACAATTCACACAAAAAGGAAACATATAGGTACCTATGTAGCTCGCAAAAGAGCTACATAGGTGTAGTAATAAAATAATCTTCTGCTTTAGTGCGCGAAAAGCAGATGCGAGAAGCAGCAGAAGCTGGTCGTAGACAGAAAGAAGAACAGCGACGCCGAGAACACGACGAAATGTTTAAACAGGTAAAATTTCCAACTTCTTTATTTATATTTCAAAATGAATTGCCGTTACAGTTAATTACAAAAGGTTTCTGCAAAATACAAATGTCACTACACAACAACACGTTTATAGAAATATTATAAGAAAGCAAAGGATCTAAGTTCACAGCAGTCTGTAAAGAAGTAAGATTACGGTATGTTACCTTACATTATATTACTTTACAAATATTTTGGCCGCTATAGATTGTTAACCGATTTAATACTTTATTATTATTAAGTATATGTTAGTAAATTGGCAACACGCCTTCAATATGTTTAAATTCTTAATATTAATAGTAATAATAGCGGGCGATTCTCAAAGTTATGATCTTTAAAAGCCGAACATACTTTACTGCTAACCTGCACAATGAATGTAAAGTACTTATAGTAAGACAACTTTTTGTTCTGCGGACACATCTGCGTAAAAATCAGTCACTACCTTACTCCATTGCTACTGCAACAGTCGAAGAGGAGCGCTCATATATCCTCAGGTAAAATGTCGCACTACATGGGCTAAACACCAATGTAAAACTCTAAGCTGTAAATTATATAATAGGGTAAACAATGTAACTCACACTCGTACCCTGTCGAAGTATGCAATTAAAAAAGTGCTCCAAAAGACACGCTTTTAACTGTAAATAATGACACTGAAAATGTGTTAATATGAAGAAATCCACATCATCTACACAAACACGCACTCGCACACGCACACGCACACACACACACACACGCACACGCACACACACACGCACACGCACACACACGCACTGAATCCTTTGATTATTTGTTAGGGAAAATCCGAACGACAATTACTAGAATAGACACAAATTGATTAAAAATCTACGCGGTAGTGCGGAGCGCTGTGTGCTATACCCTGCGAACCGCAGTCAGTTTGTCAGCGTGTTTGACGGCGCGTGTTTTCAGTGCAACGTTAAAAACTGCAGCTCCGCGCTTCTTCGCGGGGCGCGGTGCAGTGTGTTAATCGCCTTATCGTTTTTTGTTCTCAAGCACCTTGTAATGTAATTTTTTTTATTAAATAAAATAAAAATAAAACAAAGGCAGAACACAGAGAAACATTCTTCATACCCTTGGGCATAATAAAGCCGCATGACATCATACGTTAAAAGTGCTTTCCTCACGTGAAAATTATAACAATAATACGAACTATATGAAACAAATTATGTAAAGGGCTATTTGTAAAATACTAATTACCTCGCAAGGCTATATTACTAACATCATAAATAATAACATTTGTCCACAAAATAAACTTTAAGGTTTTTATTATACTATGTGACACTGTCTGGTAGTAAAGTAGTCATTCAAACGTGCAAGCGCTCTCCTCGCCCCCCACTTGCGCTCCTGCGATTGCACAGAGTTATCACCGTTGAAAGTGATCAATTTAAATATTTATATTTTTATACGAAAGTAAAATATGATGAATTATTAATACTTATGGAACAAAAGTTGTTTATAATGTTAGGAATATAGTCCTGCAAGGTTGTCAGTATTTTACAAATAAACCTGTCATATAAAGTCTTATTTAGATGTAAAAAAGCTACTATTGATTTCGTTCGTAAAATCGTTAAACCTCTCTCCTAAAAAATTGTCATTGTGCACATGTGATTTATTACACCCAGAGTGCGACTTTTTTACTGTTAAATTTACTGTCCTATGCAACCGAGGTTTCCTCAAAAAAATTAAGACAAATCAGAAATCATCCATATAGTATATTGTTAAGAGAAATAATGGTTTCTGCTTTTTCATATACGAGTGTTGGGGGCCATCCAGTTACTTATTTTAACGTGAATCGCAGTAAAAACCCCTTGAACCTTCAGGTACTTGGTGTAACTCAAGAAACAGTAGAAGCGTACTTGCAATCGATAATAGAGGAAGGCGTGACCATGGGAGCCGAGGAGGAGGGCCAGGAACGAGCCAAGCTGCAGGCGGATAAGATTGATAAAATCAACAAGGAACATGAAGGAATGTAAGTGTAGAGTTTTATTAACTATTCGTTATCAACACAAGAAAAATACGTAATAAAATTTTAATACACTTTCAGAGAGCAATTAACAAGCAAGTACAAACAATAAGATGATTACAAAGAGAGTTCAGCAAGAAAGTGCGCTTTCAACCTTTTCCGGACAATCAAATCATTACCTTACATTATTTTTAATTAAAAAAATCTTATATAAATTTACCAGGTCCACGGCAGAAACGAATGAACTTGTGGCCGAGTTAGTCCAGCAGTTCCTTCTCCCCGACGCGCATAAGGCGGCATCTCGGAACCAGATCCAAAAGGTGCAGCAGGCCAAACTCGAAGCCGCCAGGAGGACCATATTCGGACTGCTTGATCAAGCTGAGATACAGCCTCGTAAGTTTCTGACTGTTACGGACGGCCGAAGTTCACCTGGTCAGTCAGAGCAAAGGTTCAAGAATTACTGAACCTCACGAAATAGTTTCGCGCGCTCTGATTGGCTGGGAGAGCCCGCAGCATCATTAATTAGGCCGGTACGGTGTCGGAGACGCATTGAGAAATGCGCTGCCATATTCAGAGGTGTATTTTCTAGCATAAAATATACATTGATAAATTTAATGTCCCCTGTTTTGTCGTACACCGTATGCGATAATCTAGCACATTGTTAGTAATTGATGCTATAGTCTAGCACATTTATCATTTTAGCGGCAACCTGCATCCGTTGTGGTACTCCACTGGACGAGCTTTGTCGCTGTACTCGATGCCAGATCGTCATGCCGCCCAAGGAGACCACCTCCAGAGATGATCCCCGCTGGATTTATTCTCGGCGTAACTACTTACTAACACTTTTATTAGCTCGACAGTAGCTGAAAGTACTAGGAAGATAATGACCCTGTGTCGATCATGACCTATGCGTAATGCATTCGCACATATCAGTGTGCGACTTAACCATCAGTGCCGTGAACGTTAGGGAAAAATTATATTGTTCTATTTTGTACCAAACTAGCTGTTCCTTACCATACAAGTGTATAAATTAACTAGCGATGCACGGTACTAAATAGTATGGCACTGATTTTTATGTGTCGGCCCGGATAATATACGCGAATTGTATCGCAAGACTGAAGCGTCAATAATGCATCAGATATAATGTTTTTATTTAAGTGTCAAATCAAAAACTTTTCAGTCTGCCACTCTGTAGAATAAACGTCAGCCAGCATTCTCCTTTATATAGATTACTTTCGTATTGCAACGGGATCAGAATTAAATTTGATTTATTTTTGGGTTCTCTTGCCTCAGCAAGGAATAATGAACATAAAACGCTTCATGATTTGTGAGTTTTCATTTCTAATTCTGTTGATTTTTTATGTAGTTACTCGTATATTCATATTTTTTAAGCGAACGTTAGTAATGTATGATGTTGTGTTCACTATTGTAAGGAACTACACAATGTACTGTATATTTAAAGAGCTTGTTGTGTACGTATTGTGTATGTTTCAAGATGTGACCAAAAAGAAAAAAAAAAGCACTCACATCGCTTCAAAACTTGAGTAGATTGATACAAAAAATTAATTCAAAACAAGAATGTATGCGACTCATTGCCGATCTAGACTTTACACCTTTCCACTTTCATTCAACATCATCATATCAGCCGGAAGACGTCCACAGCTGAACGTAGACCTCCCCCAAAGATAGCCAGATTAGCAATATCAGCATTTAATTAAGTATTCATGTACGACAGGTCGTATTCGTCCACCCGAGAAAACCATGGCGGAGCGTTACCCCTCATACCACGAATTCAGGTGTATGCTCAACGACCTTCTTGATGACGGTAAATATATAATGCTATTGGTTGTCGTCGTAAAGAATTATAAACCAGCATAATATAGACTAGAATATTAGACATGTGATAAAATTTCAAAGTTAAAACCTTCAAGCAAACTATATTGAGAAACTTAACACGATACATTATATCGCAAACCGACTTTAAGACTAACACAACTTAAAAAATGGCAAACGTTTCAAGTAAAACAGTAACTATGATGTTTTGAATTCGAATAAATACTCTACCGATCAACCGTCAAAAATGACATTATTATCTAACTTCAAACTGAGTGAGTATAATGTTGCAAAATTTTTTCGAATTTTTTTCCCGAAAAGCTGAGATATATGAGTTGAGATGTTGTTAGATGTGTTTCTGTATGCGTATGCGCCACAATAAAAAAAAATAGCCTATATATAGCCCACTGCCACCAGGACATCAGAGGTGTAAACCCGCATTCGAAACCACATCCTCCGCCTCTCAGGCGGTTGACCTATCAAAACAAACCATTAGGGCGCATTTATTAGCGTCGCGGGCACTTGATCTATGCGGCGGCTGGGCGGCGGCCGGGCGGTTGTATTATTCAAAGGAATTTAAATGTTGTTGCCGTTTAACTGCCTCCGTGGCCGAACGGTTACTGACTGCCACGCAAAGTTCTCAGGTTCGATTCCGGGGTCGGGAGAAATATGTATGAATTATGTATATGGCCTACATTTATTTCTCTCGTGAGTTTGGGTGTAATTTGTGGTTGTCTATGTGTGTCCATGGCACCCGCGACACAGGTTTCCCTAGTGCGGAGCTATGTTGAGTGTGTGCGTTATTATAGTGTGCATATATTATAAGCGTTGCTTAATAAATAGAATTCAGTTTCGCCATTAATGTACATGAGGGCGTGGTAACTGGGCGATCGCCGCGCGAAAACTTTATCCGTATAACTAGACGCTTAGGCTACCACGGCTTTAGTTTTTTTATATAAAAATTAAGTGCGTATTTGACTTCCATCTCACCTGATGGAAAGTGACGATCAGGTCGACGATGTAGCATGCACACCTAAATAATTCCTACTCACTCTCGCCTTGAAAAGGTTCGAGTTATAGCGTTCGGGGAATAAGTCCGCCGGCTGGGAATTCCACTCCCTAGACGCTCGCCGTATAAATGTGGAAGCGCAACGCTTCGTGCGATTTCTGGGAATATCCACAACATAGGGATGGAGTCCCGGCCCACGTCTAGTTCCCCAATGATGGAAAGGGGAAAGTGGAATCAAATTATGCAATTCCATCGCACACTCTCCGTTCTATATCCTGTAAAAACATAATAATGTCCAAAATAATAATATTTTTTACTTGTGACACTGTTGAAGTCGCTACACGATACATTACAATGTAATAGTTTATTATTGTCTTCTTCAGTTGTCACCAAAGTTAAGCAACGCCGGGCTGAGAGAAAAGAAGTGAAATTTGAATACGACAAGCACTTTAAAGAAGAATTGGCGAAACAGATCGAAATCAAGGAGTTGGTCAATTACGGTTAATATACGATAGTTTAAAAACTATGTATTTATAGATGTTGTTTTAACTTAGGTTTGATGGAACTCATGCTAAAATATTGATCCTTTTTTAATATTTGTCGCATCGTTGTCACAGCAACGCCACCTATCGACTAGTGTGGTGAAACATGAAGCAGTACGCTTGGATGTGGTCGATACAGAGCTGGCAACACCAGCTGTGACAGTTGTCCGTTGTAATGTTGGTAGTAGTAGAGTCATCATCAACCCAACTATACGTCTCACTGCTGGGCACGGGTCTCCTCTCAGGCGAGGTTTTAGGGCATAGTCCGCCACCCTGGCCCAATGAGGGTTGTGGACCATCTTGGACGTACAGGTAAATTTCAAATTAAACATCGCACATAAATTCCGAGAAACTCAGACGTGCGAGCCCAGATTCTAACTCACGATCTCTGCTTGAGAGGCGGTCAAACCTTATTATGCTACCACGACTTAGAAGTTGCGTGAAGTATACAAATGTATCTTCTACTACTCTGGGGGTCTACTCGACCTAATTAAAAGAATGTCAAGTGTGAAGCTTCATTCGCATCATGCGTTTTTTAATTTTGTCGAGTATTACTTATTTTACAGCCTGCAGTGCCCGGTGGAATGCAATCTCGTAATAGACCCTTTTGCCCGGGAGTCAAATAATATAGAACACAAAAAAATTACAGTGTTCGATGTGGCAACTGGAGCGATAATTCTACCAGTGAAGAAGAGTGACTACCGCTACGTGATGCGGCACATCCGACAGGACGCAATTGAGAGGACCGAGGAACCATACAAAGTGCCATGTGAGTTAATTAAAAATACATTTTTTATCTGTACTCGTCGAGTCTTCGGATTGGATAACTCAACGGAACTTATGGGCGCTCTTTGCGTACAGTATAATAAATACAAATAATTTATTGTTCTTTTCCACCTTAACAATACATTTTACAGAGTACTAAAACTAAGGAACATCGCACAATTAAATTGTGAGATGGAACATTGGTGCCTAAACTGGGTTGGTAGTTATAAGATCTAATGATCTAATAAGGATAACCACAGATTCTAAAGCAAACAGCGACTCAAATACAAACCTTCAGCTTGTTAGATAAACCTCCGGATCGTTGACATGCCGTATGCCATAAATATGGTATTTATACATCTTCCAGGTTATTTATTAATTCTTCAGAGAGACGGTAATGACGAATGAAATCAATAACTCTGGAAATTGTGCCGTGAAAACCTAGAACATGCTTCCCTGAAATTTTATTCGAAACGTCACTGCCTTTTCTACTAACACCGACGATATTATAATTGGGAAACTTATAACTCATTTGATACATGCATCTTTATACCATCTTATATTATTTCATAATCTTTATTTGCACCAAATCATGCCTTATCTTCGGAAGAGGTATAAGCGTAGCGTAGAAGTAGAATGCACGATATAGCTTGTTTTCGGACTGAACCAATAACCTTTACAGGTTCGAAAATCCTGCCTTCAGAGATACGCCGCCGGGTCGAAAAGGAAGAGGCCGAGAAGGACCCGTACTGCAAGTGCGTCACGCCGCCCATGGTTGACAAAGAAGAATACGGCGAAAACGAAGAGAGTGAAGAGTCCTTTGGTTAGTACATTTCCAAGGCTTACTGTAATAGTCTGTCTTTTTTGAAGACTAAAGTAAAATGTTTGAATTGTGAATGTTACGACGTTCTAATGATTACTAATTGCGTTATTGCCTTCTACATTCTTATTTTGACAGTTGATCTACTAGTACGAGTTTATGCATATACATTTTAACAAGAATATGCTGATAAAATGAAAAACTTTAAAATATGTCTTCTCTTTGTATTTTTAATAGACATAGTTCTAATTTAATGCAGTGCATAAAAATTGGCGGCTTAAATGAGCCTGTGCCAGCAGTTGGACGAATAATGGATCGATGATAACTGATTTGAAATAAATTCGGCTATTTATTGCAAGCGTAACCAACATTCTTTCAAGACAAGCAATCAACTGTCATTTTACTCGATCTTCTAAAAGATAGACTATAGATTAACGCGGCCTATCTCAAAATCTACTGACTTTATCACGAAGATGGTTTTAAAAGAACTGAAACACATCTAAAGAATCCATGTTGTCACGTTTAAATTTTAACCAATAAAAAGCTCGCTGTTTTTTTTGCAATAATTTTTAGCACATTCTGAATGCAGCTGTATTACAAAGAAAATATAAACTATTTTGGTTTAAGCTACTGTTCTTGCAAAGCAGCGATTTCCTCCTCGACTCAGGCAGGCATAGAAAACTGAACTTTATTTGATTTCAGCGCATCCGTCTCTTTCGTTTGCAGGGAGGTAAAGACAGAAGGTTTCATTTTAAGTTAAGGCGTTACGACTATTGCTACTCTAAAAGAGACACAAAGAAAGAGACAGATGCACTGAATTTTAATTATGTTTAGTTTGCAATATTAAGGACACGTTCTTGTCATGCGTCTTGGAATATTGGGAAAGATTTCATGTCTCATGTTGCACTGGCTCTGCCTAACCTTCAATACGGAACACAGCATTGTTGCATGTAATAAGTAGAGACTCGATTCGGTCTCAAAAATCCCGGGAAAAGCGAGATTTCGAAGACCGTTTGGAAAACTGGTTTCCATATTTATAGGGTAGGTGTTTAAGCAGTCAAAACATAATATTTTTATGAAGGTCTTTATTAACTTCAATTATAACATCAAAAATTACTTACGAAAGTTTATTTTTTTGTAATGGGCACGTAAGAAACCAAGAGTGTTTAATTTAGATTTTATGTTATCGTTGTTCAATCTCCATAGATTATACCAAGCACCACTCAACAGTGTTACCATGTCTATGTAACCAGAATAAAACATGTTGGTTTAGTAAACTTTTTATAAAATCATCATCAACACGCGTTTTCCAAGGGTTGTGAACCATCCTCGATGTGCAGTTTTCATCACGCTGTTTTCCTGCACCGCTGCCTCTGCTTGGGAGGCGGGAGGATGAACCTTATTGTACATTTATATCCAGTATATAACCAGAAGAAGAGACGAAATAAGGGCCATATATTCCTAGTAACACATTAGCGATACAGCTCTTATAAATATGAACTCCCGTGCACTGAAATATAGACAGGCCAACTGCTGACCTGTGTGTACGTCTCCGTATATTCCAAAAAATATTCTGTTTTTGTTGTAATAAAGATAATATCTCTAACAATGCCTTGCTGTTCTACTCGGTGGTGTGGGAAAAACAGCAAAACATCTAATTACAAAAAAACGGAATCACATTTCATCGGTAATTAAAAATTAAATATGTAATTTTGCAATTTTCGTCCATTATAGCAAAGCTCAAGTTAGCTGGTCAATTTGAAGTGAAACTGTGGACGACACCCGTCAATTGTTTCGAACTCCGGCTAGCCAATCGGAGCGCAGTTGTCACAGTAATGATATGGCAGAATAGTTTTCAAACAAATTAAATGACATTTCGTCTCTATTCCTGGTTATATACTCGATGTACATTTACTATTACTGTTTAATTAACTCTTAACTTGCGGAAGTTAATTGGCCGTCCATAAGAACCGGAAATAGGTCCGTCTCAGTTCCGCGACTACCGCAAATTTAAGAGTAGGAACTTTCTCAGAATTTTCGATATTTCCGACACTGAAAACATCAGTCTCGGGTCTCGAGAATGCCAAAATATCGTCGAGACTCCAAAAGCCTAGTACTTACTTGGTTATTTACACTCGATTTTTTTTTTGATCGATTTTTCTCCCCAGATCTGAACAATCCCGAGCATCGGAAGATTCTGCTACCATCAAAGCTGCGAGCACTCGAGGAGTTGCGCAAGTGCAAGTGCGACACCAGCCGTGAGTCCATGAGCCATGACAGCTGGTTTGGTAGCCTAGGTAGGCCATCTTGCAACTTGGTCTTTTTAACGAGTATAAATGAAATTGGAAATTTAATGATGTTTGATTGGTTGAGACTATAAATAGACACGTGAGCGGGAATGATTGTAATTGGTTGTATTGTCGCCGCGCTGAAATGTGATTGGACGAGGTCTGAATAGATAGATAAGCATTTAGATAGATAAGCATTTATTCAGCACCATTACATTATAGCATTTCATACAACAAGAGTAGAAACTTTACAACAAATAAGCACTGAAAAGGTTTCGGCTCATGAATAGATACGTGAGATGGAATTATTGTAATTGGTTGTGTTGTGGCCGCGCCAAAATGTGATTTATTGTTTGTTTTATTATTATTTTTTTATAACACCAGGCGACGGCACGAACAAGTCGTGCGCCTGTTGATAAGCTACACGCCTGTCCATAACAGTTGCAGCGCCACTCAGAGCTTTAAATTGCAAAGATCTGAGGGGCACTGCCATTGCGCCCGTCGCCCTGAGACGTAAGTTGACAAGTCCCATGTGCCTGTAATTTCACCAGCACCCCTTACCCTTCAAAACCAAAACTGCGTACTGCTACTAAAATGTACTATCTACTAAGGCATATGAATATTTGGTGTGACGGTTGCTATTGTATATGCAGATTCTGAAATTAATTAAAACCATGATTGGACCGACAAAAGTGTTGACGTTAAAGGCACTTTTCACTCGCTCCAATAATGGATGGCCGTCAAAGGGCGCGAAAATTGAAAAAGGTCACGTGCACAGTATCTATTTATTAACCATATATTGTATACCAATTTTTATATTAATGCATTGTATTAGGCAAGCTCACCATGGACCCTACACGGCGTTAATTACCGGACCCCTTAGCGGTCCAATGACCACATGTTAAGAAACTCTGGACTAAATAAATGCGTGAAATGGAATGATTGTAATTGGTTGTGTTGTCGCCGCGTTGAAAATGATTGGACGGAGACTGAATAAATAGTGACAAGGAATTATTGTAATTGGTGTGTTGTAGCCGCGCTGAAGTGTGATTGGACGAGAACAAAAGTGACGTAGGAGCGAATATTCTTATTGGATTACAATGAAAAATCCCACATCGTTACTTGTTCAACTGGTCGTGAGGATTAAAAGTAGACTCAATTAGAATAGTATCATAATGTTAACCAAACTTTTGCCTTATTTTGCAATTGTAATTTCAGTTTTGTGAACCGAAAAATAAAAAAGACAATCTGTTTATATTTACTGTTCAAATTGTATACATCATCAATTGTATTATATATATATATATATATATATATATATATATACATATACACATATATGTGTATATATACAATTTGATTGATGATGCAGTAAAACCATTTCCGGAAATCCGAAATTCTACAAAAGCAATTAATTAATATTTGGTGGTTTTACCAACTCCATGTATATATCTATATAAAATATGTATCTATATAATATGTGGAACATGTTTTTCAGACCATTGCTTATTATACTATAACATATTTTAAAATTTAGATTTCTTTCAGGTACCAGCCAGACTACTGACTCTTATCTGGATGAACACGTTGTAGACGAAGATGGAATAAAGAACTGACGGTCTGAGCTTTGGAGACCATCGACAGTGCCCAATCTTTTCAAGCACTACCTACAAGTACATCCGGTAGCAAACGTGCATGGAAATCTGTACTTTCAATATTTTACTGCATCGTATTGTTTACAAGTATAATACCGTTGAATTTAGTAGGCACTTGTTTTCAATCAACTTGTTTGTATGGCCTTAGAAGTCTCGGTATGAGTTAGGTTGGGTGAGCCGTACGTAAACGGATTTAAAGTAAAAGTATAGTTTCATTGTTTGTTAAGTTGGATGGTCACCCGTGGCTTACCGTTAGTGGCGCGATTTGTCAACTAACTTAAAACTAATTCGATGTGCTTTAAATAATAAGGGCTGTACGTGCCCCGATTCCTTTACCGTGTCCGTGGCCCGTATACTGTACGTGGCCCGTACACAACTTGCTATTTAATATCGTATAATTTATGTTCTTCTCTACCCTAAATATCAAAAAATGAATATTAAACAACATCACACGTTGATACCAAAGTACATTACTAAAGCTCTTGTGTCATGAAAATAGGAAATGACGACGATACCACAAACACCCACACGCGGGACTATAATAGAAAAGTTGGTTTGTTGATCCGGCCGGGGATCGAATCCGGGACCTCAGAGGTGGCGACACATGACATGTAAACCACTCTATATGAATTTATATAGTGTGTACTAATTTATGTTCTATACCTTGAGAAGTAATTGACAATGTTTCTGTCTGCTTGTACTGAATAAACGTTTTAATCTTATCCTGTGGCAATTGCTTACTTAACGGTTTGAAATAAAACAACATGATTAATTAATGTATATATTATTTATTTTCGCGAAATTACACAAGTGATCTTCAAAGTCCGCGCCTAAACTTAATGGTGCTTATTCTATAATAATAATAAATATCTTTTTTTTTTCTCCACAACACAAAACAAAGAAACATTACAGTAGAGATGCATATTATTACATATGCTTAGAGTAATGTACTGTGGGAGATTGGAGCCCAAACTAATCAGAGCCTCTGACATACAACAAAAAATATGTGTGAGAACAACTAACAAGTGTTTTTCTAAGTCCTCGTTCACTATCCGTGTAAGAGCTCGGCTCTTGTTAGTGTAGTAAAAAGCAAAGCAAAAGCATCTATGCTGAAAACACAATCTTTGACTCCGATACGACGTGGACCTCGCTTTTCATTTGAATTGCTCAAAGTAACATTCATGTTCTCAATTGCTTTCGTCCACGCTGTTACTTCATTCAAGTTTTTGTGACATTGCAATCTCAAAATAAAAACTATTATAATAAATGAACTGTTTTTCATATTCAAAATTAATACTTAACACAAACAGTTACAAAAAATGAAACAACAAAACTTTATGTATATCATGAAAAACAAAATAGTCATTTAAATAACAAAAAAGAACACGAATATAATAAATATATAAAAAGCATTTAGATCACGGCATTTTTCGTTCATTATTTTTAAATTTAAACGGAAAAAGATTTATATAAATGAAAAAAAAAATTACAAACTTTCAAATGTTGGTCAAAGTTCGATTTAAAAAGTAAACCGAACAGAATAAGCACCAGTTTTGACGACGACTTAAATAGTAACCTATCAGTAACCCGAAATATCATTTTCAGAAATAACGTTTGCTAAAAGTAATTTTGACAGGAAAATGTTTTTTCTTTTAAACCTAACCTAACCGAACCTAATCGTGTTTTTGCGATAAACATCCAACATATCCTGAAAGAACAACGATTTTGTTATAATTCGGTTTTCGGTGTAATGAAAATTCGAACAAACGTTATTTCGGAAAAAAAACGAGTTTGTGATAGGTTACCTTTAAATAGACACCCTGTATGTGTACATCGATTTGTCTAGCTACTTATATGAAATACAAAATTGCTTTTAAACCTGACATAGAAATAGTATGTTGTATATATAAATTATTTACTACTTTGTAAGGAATCGTTTCCACTTGGTTTTATCTATGGTAGTACGGCAGGGACTTAAAAAATTACCCACCACACTACCACTTCACTTCACTTAGTGGTACGATGGGTCCCGCGGGGGTTTTGGCTACTTATACGTCGAGCGTGATATGAAGTATATAAAATAAAGCGTGATTCTAAAATTCGAACATCTGATATCACTTTGAATACTTTTAGTTTATATTGTAAATAGACAATTTCAAAATTTTTATCACAATATCGCCTTGTTCGCTTTTTGAAAATTTAAAAGCACTGTCCACTAAATTTTATCCCAAATCATTCAGCCAATTCCACATATTTCTACAATGATTTGTATAAAAAATAAAGGAAAAAGATATGCGTAATGTCTACAGAGGCGGGGAATAGTTTAAAAAAAATGATATGTAATTTCGTCAAGTGTAAACGATCCCTAACATTTGCCCCAATGTATATTGTGCCTTATGTGCTTTATAGCTTTACATTTGATAAATACATGATACACAATCTTTTTAAATGAACATTTACTTTTTTATTAATAATACAAATATTTGATATTAATTCTCTCTTATTTTCATTTTAAATATAAATGATGCTCAAAAATATAATCTTAATTGTAATCAACATTTTTGAGCACCCTCCATTATAATTTGCTATAAGTAGGTACGTTTTATGGAACTAATATACAGAGTGAACTTAACAAAAAGTAAAGACCAGGCAATTTAATTTTGAGCACTGAAGTAATTGCGCTGTATAGGTGTAATGTGTTCATATATTTCACACCGGCTTCTACAATGTTTTTGTAAAATTTACACGTGGTATGACCATATATATAGAAAAAAAGGGGAGATTTGGTATGGGGGCGTGGTTCGTGTCGCTTCGATATGATCAAAATGATCATATCGAGGTGACACGCCTACAAACATCGTCACAGTGACATGGCGATCGTTGTACATACAAGATCTCTCGTAAAACGTGAAAATGCCAAGATGTAGCGATGCACCTTGTAAAAATTGGAGTGAAAACAAAAATTTTAAAACCAGTGAGATAACATTCCACCGGCTATTTGCATTTTTAGTTACTATTTCTATTATTATTCAATGTTTTCTTTTTGTCTCCATACAAATTTCTAGACTCAAATATAGTGATGTTCATTTACGATGACTGATGTTTATCGACAATAATTTTTTGCTGAAATGTTTGAATTTCTTACTATGATTTTTGTAATTAAAGTCCCTAAAATATCGAAGCGAAAAGCATTCACGTTAAATTGATTTCTTTTATTTTATTATTATTATTACTAAACATTTTATTTCGATTAACTTTAACACAACTCCTATTTCGGACAACAGTTTTAATTTCATGTAAATTTGTATGTTGCTGTTGTTTGAACAAAAATGTCTGTGTATTATTGTTTTAGATAATTTAGATATTTAAATTCCAATATACTCGTAGATTAAACGTAGAGTATTTTTATTTTTAAGTTTTTTCAATGAGTTCAAAATAAGAGAAGGTTGGATTTTAGCTGTAGGAAAATCGAAATATTGGTTTTCTTATTACTATTTCTGACTTTGTTTAAATTTCCATAGCAAATGCATTTAAAAAATAAATAAAATAAAATCGGCTTTATTTTACATGTGCATGCAATGTAAATTAGAAACAATTATAGAAAATTACATAAATCCTTCATAAAAAAACAACATAATTTAATTTATTAAATTCGTTGGTGGTCCGAGTTTACGCTTGACAATGACAGCTTCACCAACCCGTGGTAACATATAATGGACAACTGACACTGGCGACGATCGCTATATGTTTATATTATTCTTATAAAACTGACACTGGCCCAAGCCTAGTGGCCGCCATTAAGAAAATGATAATACTTTATATTAATATATTAATTTAATAATACACCAGTACCAGTGTAGGTATAGTATGAAAAATGGAATATTTTTTTAATATTAAAAACAGCCACATGGTTTCTATCGATTAGGTAGGATCCACATCCCTCGTTGAGTAGCGTCAGTTTAAGGTTAATAAGTTTAACAATTCACGGAGCGGTTTCCATCCGCGCCCGCCGGTGCTGCGGGACAGCGGTTTTATTTCGATACTCACGACCCTGCAGTTTGTGCGGGAACGTAGCCGCCGCGGTTGTGGGCACGAAACCATTGCGATTGCGGAACGGACCGCGAAGTTAGTGAGAGTTAATCGCAAGTCGCGCGGTTAATAGAGAACTCATCCCGCGTGCGCCTGCACTACTTGCGCCTGAACCGACCGCCAAAGTGCGCGGATGACGACGGCCGCTAAGCGCGAAGTTGATCGTGTCCTACGCGGTTCTACTAGTACCCCACCACGGCAACCGCGAGCAACCGTCACCACTACAAGCGTAAAATGCGCCGTGAAATTAGTAAATTTAAAATTTTACATACTTAACTATCACATTCTACAGATGCCGAAGTCCCGCGGCAGGCATGGGTGAAAACCGCTCCGTGAATTCTTAGTGTAATGAAAAATGAGTTTCAGCGCCATCTAACGTGTAATAGTTGCCTATAATAGTTGCGTGTAATAGTAACGTGTAATAGTTAAATAACGCCACCTGATGGTGACTGGCTGAACCAGGATGAAAAAAATACTGAAATATTGTAATATAACTTTTACTCAAGTGACTGTAAGTTTAATTTTGTTAAATTTTAAAATTGTGTTACATCATGTTCACGTTTTAAGCCCTACCCAATCAAAATCTTTAAGTTATGGTAGTAGATAATAGAGCGTAAACTTTGAATTGCACACAAGCTAAAAAGTGGCGACATCGGTACCCGATCTTACATATAGCGTCATTACATATCTCCCCTTTTTTTCTACATCTATCTCCCACAAAACTTTGGGGATCTTTGATCTAAGGGTGCCACATTTGTGTCAGTATTGAAGCCTATGTGCGATATATAGAAAGAAATCTACACACATCAAAAGTGTCTATCAAGCTCGTTTTTTTTGACAGCGATGGATTTATTTTTAAGCAATTTTATAATTTATGTTTGAAAATGTAATTGACAAAAAAAACCATTGGTGTTAAAAAAATCGTTAAAATACCTGGTTTTCATGAAGAGTAAATAGCATCGAGTATATAACCAGAAATAGAGACGAAATAAGGGCCATCCATCCCTGGCAACTCATCAGGCAATGGGCCTTATATCACTTTTAAACATCAACTCTCGTTTGTGCTGACATCACAAATTAGAAAACTGAAATAGTACAGCGCCAATGACTGACCTGTATATACGTATATTCCAAAAATATTCTGATTTATTGCAATAAAGATAATATCTCTAACTATGGGGGGCTGTGCCATTCGGTGGTGTGGGAAGTACAGCAAAACATCTTATTACAAAACAAACGGAATCACATTTCACCGGTAATTAAATATTAAATATGTAATTTTTTCGTTATCGTCCATTATAGCAAAGCTCAAGCTAAACTGGTCGATTTGAATTGAAATAATTGACGATACCCATCAATTATTTGGAATTCGGGCTGGCCAATCGCAGCGCAGTTGTCACCGCAATGATTTGGCAAAATAGTTTTCAAATAAATTAAATGACATTTCGTCTCTATTTCTGGTTATATACTTGATGGTAAATAGATATGCTTTTATTTTAGTAAGTAACTCAATAGGCCGATTTTGAATTGCCAAAAATACACCTTATAATGTACACAAGTTTCACTCTAGAATAAAAATCACAGCCAAGCAGAACAAAAAAATCTAAAGAGCTCCAACACGCTGCGCTTTTTTTCACAGACTATTTTTTTATTATCGGTTATAAATACTACAAAAACGACTATAAAATATCACATAGAAATACAATAAATCGCACCTTTTGGTTTAATAAAGTCACATCTGCAAAATGACAACTTTTCGGGAGAGAGGTTTTAAGATTCTACGAAATTAGTTGAGAACTTTTTGTACTTCAATACGATTATAAAATTTTACGTATACATAATTTGTTTCATGTATTTCGTATTATGATAAAAGCATTTTTGGTGTATAATCACATGTTGCATTACATTATACATTTATAAACTGTATATATACACATTGTGTGGAGCTCCTAACAGCAACATGTTCAATAATATTAAAGCCTTTTTCTCCAGCAAGTGGATTTGAATCATACAGGGTGTTCATTTTAACTGTTACCAGAAACATTATACAGGTTTCCTATCACATTGAAAGCTTTTTCTAACTCATATAAATATGGATCCGAAGCATGTTTTCAGAAGTGTCAAGTGAACTAATATTAAAGATATTAAAGTGTCGTTTCTTCACAGAGTTTTAAGCAAAATGATCTTGGCTTATGACGTTACTAACAGCTACCTATAACCAGTTTGATTCTAACACTTGCTATCCGAATGCCCAATTATTTTTTCAATAAATTACGATTTGATATCAAAAGAAGTCGGAATAGACAAAGTATATAGATTTTAAGACTTTCAAGTTAGTTTTCTCCATCTAATTTCGGTGGCATTTTATATTATTTAAACAATAATATTACAGAATATTATCATGAATTATTATTTAATATTTTTTTGTAAGCACTGAGCACCGAATTCCACGAGATTAAAAACATTGAAAAAGCAAGATATTGCTTTTTCAATATAGATTGTAAGACTTGCATAGTTAGTCCCTAAATAACTGTGTTTTTTGTTGTTAAAACGTTGTGCTTACATAATTGCTACTTATCAGGATGTCATGTTGTTTACTTATTTATATTTAACCGACTTCAGAAAAAGGAGTAGATTCCCAATTGGGAATCTCACAGTCGAATTCGACTGTATTTTTTTGTGCCTTTGTCATTGACTTACAATTATATGGACGTCGGGTCCGCGATAAAAAGTGTCCGAACTTATAGGGCGTTAAAATCGTATACAGAGCGTCATTCACGCTTTAGTCTTCGTTTGTTCGACTGACAGCGAAGCAAGCAAAATTAGACAGTACTGCGATGGCATTACAATTTAAATTCCACGTTTTAGCTTTTACATATTCCTTTACATGTCACTACGTTTAAATAGGTTGACTTGGGACATTTTTTTCGTGGTTTTTGTATTAGACCCGTCGTGCATTTATTTGTAAGTCAATGGTCTTTCTGAACCGATTTCGATGATTCCGTGTGTCCCATTTTCAAATTTGGAATAAATGTCCACCTTTACGGGTGATAAATAAGGTCTATCCCCATAGACCCGGATTGGATCTCGCCCACTTTCCATTAACTTATTTCAATAAAACTTGGCAAACTGATGTAATTCCACAAACTTTTGAGGTCGGGTTTTTTCATAAATACCACTTTGTTTATGGGAACAGTCTGTGCACTACCCCGTATATCATAGAGTATAATTAAAAAGATAGCATACTATATAAAATAAAGATAAACATTATATATATTAGTATATATCAGGAACATAGTTACAGTTAGGCGCGAAATGAAAGTCTATAGCCCACGACCATATTAAAAAGTTTGACTACATAACAGAGAATGTTACAAAAGAAGTTTTAACGGAGTTTTTATTTATTGATAAACCCAATTAAAATGTATATGAATTCATAATCTGGACTTAATAAATAATCCTATTAATTTTCTAGGTTGTTTTTTCTTTTTTTAAGATGTCAAGTAGTGGAACGAACAAGTCAAGCTGTATGGGCCATACATGGATTGTAGTGGTAGTACGCAGAGAAACACTTGCAAAGACAATGGTAAAAGTATATTGTACGTAAAAATACAGATTCTGATGGAGATGGTGGCAAATCTTTCCTTGATGTCGTGTTGACAGTTGGTAACATACTACATCAAATAAAGTGTGAATCAAGTATGTAAGTTAAAGAGCGGCACGTGGTTAAAGTAGATCGCCGCGTGCGCAGAGTTATATCGAAGAATGTATGAGGCCATACACACGCAGTTGCAATGCTAGACAGATCTTCTATTCGCAATAATCCGAGTAGCACCACCACTGCTCCCGTTACCCTGAGACGTAAAATTAACAAGTCAAAAGTTCAACGTTTTAGTAGCAGTAGAGCTTCTTGTGAAAGAGTTCGTCCAGGAAATTCTGCTACCTTACCTATTTCTGCCGCCAAGGAGTAATATGAACATTACTCCGTTCCGTTTTAAAGGGTAATGGTGCTGGTGAAATTACTGGCACGGTGTAACTTGTCAACTTATATCTCAGGGTGACGAGTGTAAGTGCCCCGAAGATCTTTGCGATTTAAAGCTCTAAGTGGCACTGCAACTGTTATAGACATGCGTTTCGCTTAATATCATGCGTACGGCTTGTTCGTGCCTTCATTTGGTTTCATAAAGAAATCTGTTAAGTAGTCAAACAACTTACATCTGAATGCTACCAGACAATGATGGTGTGCCTTATTGCTAATAATTATTATTTAATGGACAAATCCTTCTTGTGCCCTTGCAGGTTTGGCTCTTGAATGGTTAACGTTGAGGAATATGCCCTGTTCGACGATCTTACGCTGTTAACCGGCAGGTTCGCTCTCCTGCGACCCAAGTTCTTCCAGCTGGCTTAGTATTAACGCAGATAAACAAAATTCGCGGGAGTAGAGCAACTTTGTCTTGTCTACTGTAACATTAGTGTGCACGACGGTTATGTTTGGAGAGACAGCCCGTATGACGTCATTGCAGCGAGTTAATTGATAGCTTGGAGACATCGCACTTTTAGTAATAAAATGACAAAATTGGAGAACTCGATACGAAAATATAAATTAAAAAATAGCCTGTATACGTAGTTATACATATAGCCATTTGCCTGGTGCCAAATACAACAAAATTGTGTTCGACATGAAATTAGTATTACTATATCTTTTTCCAAATTTATTTTGTAACTTTCCCCATAAATTTAACTTTTCGAATTCGCCACTTTATTATCAAGGGCGAGATATCGCACCCCTCATGGAAGAATGACGTAAGTGGAGTTACGTCAAACATGTTTATTGCTACATTAGATACAGAAAAATATAACCCACATCTTCTCCAATTCTTGTAACGCTATCTACAATATTAGTCGATAGAATTACAAGAATTGGAGAGGATGTGGGTCCTCTACATAAGCCATTCTTCCATGAGGCATGGGAAACTAAGCCTGCTGGAGTCTGAGAGTCTAAACTTAGACGGAGTTGCAAAAATTAAACGTCACAAGAAAACCCCAGACACACCGTAACAAATACTAAGGTTCTCTTCACACACCAGGTTTCCGTGAAACAAAAGAATTCCGCCATCTTACGGGACGTAGGACGTTCCGAAGGTAAAGTGTTTCAGGTTGTATCTACCCGTGAGTATTTTAAATAAGTATTGTAAATAATACATGTGTATTTAAACAAATATTACTCATCGTTGACAATAATTACTTATTTGTTTATTTACAAAAAGCAACCTACATACCGTTGTCTTACTTTCTCAAACTCTTCGACCCCTCCTACGTAAGTAGCGTATGTCGAAATTGCCAAGTTTACAGGGGAGCGTTTTAAGTTTTGAATTCACTGAAATGAACATAACACGTGACTTTGTTTCCCAGTTTTATTCGGCAAAACTCAGAGTATTATAAAATCCTAGACATCAAAATCCTAGACATCGGTTAGATGAACAACTGCGATTTATTTTATCATTTTACAATTTAATTTAGCATTTCTATGCTAAAGTCACGTGTTACATTTCAGTGAATTCAAAACTTAAAACGCTCCCTTGTAAACTTGGCAATTTCGACATACGATACTTTACGTAGGAGGAGTCGTCTTATCTTAAAGCACAAACTAACTGAAATGCATTGTATATACAAATTTGCAGGCCTATTTTCACATCACAAGTGGCTTTTGCCTACTGTTAAAGGGATGCATCCAAATTAAGACCCTTGATAAAGTAAGGCGACGATATTTTCTTACTCATACTTGTTAGGAGAAGACGATGCTTTAAGAATGAGTAGTGTATTTCAACCAATGTAAAGATTTTAAATGTATGTAATTTGCTTACCCATGAATTAAATATATTTGAACTTGAATATTGAGTGCGAAAAGGACCTCATTTTTTGTTTCAGTGGTAAATAAACTAATCAAACACCCGAACATCGACTCCTGTATCATCCATTTTATAACTTAACCTTATTTCTGTTAGCTCTCCCTATACAAGTACGTCAGAGCACATGTGAGCAGCAAGATGGCGGCGCGTGATGTGACGTGCGGGCCGCGGGGGGGTGCGGCGTTGCACGCGTCTGCGTCGTTGCAACTTTGAAGGCAGCCGTGCACGTACCTGAACAGCAGACGTTCAAGACAATAGAGGAGGTGCTGCACAGCATTTATCAAATTTTACTATAAAAATATTCATGAAGACAGAATATGTTCCTAAATATGTGAAGAAAATTTGTGCAATTTTTCTCGCAGTTTTTCTTTTTTTCTGTAAAATATTTTGACAATTTTTCGTTATTTCAAATTTTTCAGACATTACCCAACACTATTGAAACATATTATTTAAAAAAGTTTTGTCAGTCGTGAGTAGGTACAAGAGAAATTGTTTAGTTATAAATATTTTTAATGATTGGAATGCCGTGTGACAAAAAAAACTCACGAGTGTCAAACTAACCTCTCGCCGTAGTAAAACTTTCCACAATGCGACATCCGAATGATCTCAGTATCAGTTGTGACCGTACCGGAATCCAGGCCGCAGCCGCGAACCGTTATGGTTTCGCCCGTGTCGTCTGAAAACGCATTAATATTATTGCTTAACTTCATAAATAAAACTAACGTAACGTAACGTCCCTTTTTTGTTTAATCAATCGAACATATAGAAGGCCAGTGCTACTAGCCGACTAAAATCGCGTAAGGCGAAAGACAGATAATTTTATCTACCCGACTCAGCCGTCAGGCCTTTTAGAAAATAAAACAGATTCTGATCAATATAACATTGTGATAATATTGTGCGATTTAAGCTGTAAATAATTAAACAAAAGTTAGCCGTAACGTACTTAAGAAAACGAGTTGAGAGACAGATTGTAATCACTCATAAAGCATGAGTTTAGTTCAGCTTTTATTTAATTTTTTTCCTGACCTTGCAATGGCCGCGTGTAAGGACAGTTTTTGACGATTGCAATTGTCGCTCGACGTGCTTTGTTTTGAAAATCAATAAGATCTATCAACTAACAGAGTTGCTCGATTTTATCGATCGTTTCTGTCAGTCTCTGTACGTAGTATATCTTACCGAAAACACCAGCGATCTTCAAACAAGAAGTGGCCGGGAACAACCCGTCTCTCCCCTTCCGTCCGCCCATGCAAGGCGACTCGAGCATCTCGAGCGAGTGGTTGTTATGGAATGGGTCGTCGCAAGGGGCGAAATGCCCGTTCATTGACACACATTTGAAACAGTCGATGCTGTATGCTGAAATAATGATCAGTACAGAGTACTAAAAAAACCAACCTCAAAAGTACGTGGAATTACGTCTATTTGCTAAGTTTTATTGAAATATCCCCTAGTTCGCCACTATACAGTACTTGACACTGGAGATAATAACGGTTCTCACTACTCGAAAGTGTATTGAGAGAAAAACGCCTTGAATTGGAGAAATAGCAAAATCAACCATTAAAGTACAATTACTTTAATGGTTGATTTTGCTATTTCTCCAATTCATTTAGGAGCAATGCTCCTAAATTAAAGTTAGGCGCTATTTATAAATATGAATCTTCTTGTGTGAACAGTCACCCTTCGAGGTGGAAGATTTCTTCAAAATAAAATGGGACCACTACGGAAGTACCCCCTTGCCAACAAAAAAAGAATCATGAAAATCGGTTCACAAATACCGGAGTTATCGCGTAACATACATACAAAAAAAAACACAGACGAATTGAGAACCTCCTCCTTTTTTGAAGTCGGTTAAAAAAGTTGCATTTATGCCTTGTTTTATGGTTCCCAGCATTGACTTACAAATAAATGGACGACGGGTCTAATACAAAAACCACGAAAAAAATGTCCCAAGTCAACCTATTCGAAATTTAAATTGTAATGTCATCGCAGTATCGCGCTGTCAGTCGAACAAATGAAGACTAAAGCGGAGTTTGGCGCTCAGTATACGATTTTAGCGCCTTACAAGTGCGGACACTTTTTAGCGCGGACCCGACGTCCATATAATTGTAAGTCAATGGTTCCCAGGCTCAAAATACTACGGGGCTTACATTTTGACATAGTAACGTCACATGATCATATATCAAAATTGCTTTTGTCACAAGAAAGTCATAAAAACTGACTACATGAAACAAATCATGTATAACTAACTATCCTAGCATAAAAAGTTGTTGACAAATTTCGATTGTAGAATCTTTAAACCACTCGGCACTTGAAAAGTTGTCATTTTGCGGATGTGGACTTCTTGCAGCAAAGGATGCGACATTTACATTTATTTAAAGTTCGATACCTATACAATATATTATTTGAAATTTATATGTTTCATGACCTATTTATATTATCTTAAGGACTTAGGGACTACTTACAATAAGTACCTTCTTACTGTCAGATGTTACGAAACACGTGTATTTTACAAATCCGCCCACCCTGTTTTCTATGTGTTTGCTATCACGAACATTAACAAAATTTAGGCAACATGAAAGGATGACCGTGTGTTAAAAGCATTTCTTTCATTCAATAATGTGGGCCAATCCATATAAATTGAGTAAACCGCCATCTATACGTTTATTACAGAACTACCAAGCTTGTTCTGGACGCCATCTAGTAGAATAAAGAAGTTCTACTAAACAGGCATAAAGGCTAACTTTATACTACCGAATACTAGATGACACTGCCAATCATTTCCGGTAAAAAATGTTGCCATTATAAAAAAATAATTATACAGAAACGCCAATGCCATCTATTGTTCAGTAGCTATAAGTTTATAGTACATGCGCTTGCTTACTGTTTTCGTTTAACTGTAATAGATGGCGCTATAGTAATAACTTCACTCAATGAATAAAAGCATATAATGAATCGTTCATTTTTTCACAATGACAGACATCACGTTAATACTAAAAAAAAAGTATGTTATGTTTTTCAGTACCGTTAGGTACTGTTAGGTCACCCATCTAGATGGCCGCATTGCATAACTTTGGTACAAGATAAAGCTGATTTAAATTCAATTCTATTATCTTCAATCTTTTTGATTAGGTAATGGTTTTCCCGCCAAGTAATTTGTCGTGCAAACTAACAACCCATGTTTGACGTAGGGTCAATATTAATGTAAACAAAGCGCAAGAACTAGTTGTGGCCCATCGTATGTGTGTTATGACGCTAATAGGTATAACATTATTTAAATAAAACATAAAAGTAGAGAACTTACCCATTGAGACCCAAGAAAGGAACAACGCTACAAAAATGAACAGATTGTTGCGACGTTTTCCATGAATGGCCTCCATTGTTTTATCTGTAAACATAAATAAAATAGATAATAAAATGATTATGTTCAGGGACACGCGGCGTAATATAATATATTATTCAAATTCAAACACGTCTCCATTTCATAGTTAAGCAAATTGCAAGAAATCGTTGTATTGTTTAAACTGTACTATTTTGAAAAGAGTGAATACACATTTTGTTCACAATTACCATGAATGTAAAACAACATTTATTTCAAATATGTATAATTTAATTTAATTATGGCACTGTCATCGGATAATCAATCAATTAATAACAACAAAATAATAAACTATCTATGTCAAACTATTAAATATTATACATTATTATTACATTAAACATACACACATATACCTTATAATTTCATGTCGACATCTAATACCAAGAAAGAATAATCAGTCAATTAAAAAAAAACAACAAAATAATAACCTTCTATGACAAACTATTATATATTTATACATCATTATTACATTGTATGTACATGCTTATACATTAAGCATTAATTTCATGTCAACATTTATCTAAAAAATCAGTCCTAATCAGTCACAGGCTATGAGTGATTGAGATGAATTATTATTTATTCTTCACACAAATGACCAGGACCTCTGCGTGGCAGAACAGCATGGTAACCGTTCGGTCATGGATGCAGATTTATGAGCCTCACTCATTGGCGAGCATGTTCACCGTGTTGGCCAAAATGTTCGTCACGATTGCCAAGGTTGGTCATGTCACCCGATATGAGTCTGAACAGCCAGCTAACATCACAATTCAACAGCAACCATGTTGGCTAGCGCAGCCAACAAGTCCGCCAATAAATGATAGGCCCCGTTATTTGTTAATCGCATATGAAATCAAATACTGTCATAACTCAAAAATGTTGATACGATTTGAAAATTAAAAAAGAATACTAATTGAATCTTATAGCGAATAATGAGATTATTTTTGTTTATACGCAATATTTAGTTATCTCTATAAACGAGAATATAAATTTATTGGTTTAGTAAATTTTGAACTTCCAAATCGAGTTTTCACGTCTCTACCATTTTTGAGTTACGACGGTATTTGGTTTCATTTGCGTTACGTAACTAACGTAGCTTATTGCGCTTTTGTTTGTTCCAATTTTGGTCTTTTTTATGGGCGTAAATCGACAATGATGAAAATAGCACACCGCTTTTTCTCCAAAACTTTACTATATAAATTGTAATAGTAATTATTAGAAACATTGTCATTAAACAATATAAATTATTATTAGTTAATAAATTATAAATTACGCACCAATATACACGCGTCGAGAGTGGAAGAGTGATTGATAACATAAGACATTGAGATCGGAATAACTCTTGTCAAATTGACATATATTTTGTTACATCCATAACTTATTACTAGAGTTGCAAAGCGTATGATATTCGGTCTGAGGTCTAACAGCGGCATGTTCGGCCAAAATTATTCGGCGTGATTATAACAATAATACAATAATGTGTCAGACAACCACACTAATTTGTCTGGTTGAGTACTAGAGCAACGGAGGCACCCAGAACAACCAGACCAGAACCATAGTTAATTTCCCAATTTTGTCCTACCTACACAATATTGTCGCCCAACCGTTTTGGGCCAACGAGGTCGTCAAATTTATTCAGGTTACCGCTCGTACAATAACACCATGTAACACGATTTTTGTTTCTAGGTTATCAATATCATTTTCTAATTGGTTCTATCGCAGAAACATGAAAAAACTTTATTTTCCTACAAACACTTTGCTTTTGTGGTCAGGACAACGAAAACTTGTAATTTGCGTGTTATTCCGGAAAATATTTCACATCAATAATTTTTAATTCGATACCTCCAACGGTGATGGTCGTAACCCACTTTTTAGGAAAATGTGATTTTTGACCCTTTATAATAACATAGAAGAAAGAAAGAAATGTAATTTATTCAGCACAATACACGTGGAGTACAATATTAATAATTAGTATTAAAGTGTATTATTGCACTGAAAAGGACCCAACTCAGCTAATGCTGCGGCAGGGCCACAGCGCTGGTTTTCAGTGGACCCTTTTCGAAAATGCCGATTAAAAGAAATAAAAATATATGAATAAAATAAAAACAAACGTGGACGCGAGTTAAATAAAAATTTAAACATGAAACAATATAATTAAATAGGAAACATAACACAAATTTCAGCTAATGTCTCAATAAAGATTCACTCTGCCGTTTTCTTTTTAATTTTGTGTTTTGAGGCGCATTACACAAATAAAATTGTTCCAGACGTGTTTTGTAGATTTAGAATGTGCTCTTTGAGTTGACATTTGAACGCATAAACGGATTGTGAAGAACGCATTGATGGCGGTATGTTGTTCCAGATTTTCGTCGCGGAATATTTAAAACTGCCTTTATATGCCGAAGTTTTGTGTTTTGGAATGCAGAGTGGAAACCTGCAGGTGCGCGGTCTATTAGTCCATGTGAGACGTTCATGGAGGTAAAAAGGTTTTTTGCTTTTTATCACTCCAAATAGAAGCGTGGCTAAATGGGAGTATCTTCGCGACGACATGTTTAGTGTTTTAGCTTCATTCAGAAACGGAGATACGTGACTTCGCGGTGGTACACGAAAACAAAATCGAGCGCATGCATTTTGCACTCTCTGCACTAGTCTTTTCGTTTTTACCAAAAGTCGCGGACCGTACACTACGTCACCATAGTTTAATCTAGAGAGTATTAGGGAATCACAAAGGCGTATGCGGAGCTGCTCACTAAGAAATTCACGCATCTTATATAGTACTTTAAGCCGGAAAAAACAGTTTCGAGTCACCTCCAGTATATGCGATTCAAATCTTAGGGTATCGTCCATTAGTACTCCAAGATTTTTTGCAGCTTTAGTCCTTTCTATGCTCTCACTTCCTATCACAATATTGGGATGTTTGTTCGCTATCCTAGTAATCTGATTCACAGAATCCATGATTAGGTATTTAGATTTACTAGGGTTTACTACGAGACAATTTCTGCGGGACCACTCAACTATTCTATTTAGATCTTCGTTAATTTTTTCTACCGCAGACATTGTGTTCTTAGGATCGAAGGACAGGTACAGCTGTAGATCATCCGCGTAGATCTGATAGCTACAATGTTTAATACAGCTTATTATATCAGCGCTGTAAAGAATATAGAGCAGAGGGTATAAAATTGACCGTTGAGGGAGGCCTCTATCAACCAAGCATAAGTTAGATGAGTTCATGACATAGATCACCTGTCCAACAGTGAAACACTCGTACACAATGAAACACCACGATAATTTGAAAATGCGATGTTACCAAATAGTGCAGAATTGCATGGAAGGATGCACTCGCGAAACCCCCCTCTAGTTCAGTTCAGCAAGTCCGTCACAAACAACCAGACGTTTTTTCAGAGTCTCTTTTGTTTTATCGGCGAAAAATTAAGTATTTTTTGCAAGTTCTTAGGTTTTCGCGATTGTTACACATAGGAAATGAAACTATTTTTCCGGATTTAAATAGAGTATATTTGTTTTTTCAAACAAACCGACGTTTCGGGCCCTTTACAGGTCCCATGGTCACGGTTGACTGAGGTGGTACAGTCTTCAACCAGTTATGATATAGATGGTAGATATGGTATATATTAGTAAACTGGTTGAAGACTGTACCACCTCAGTCAACCGTGATCATGGGACCTGTAAAGGGCCCGAAACGTCGGTTTGTTTGACAAAACAAATATACGCGATTTAAATCCGGAAGGAACCTAGATATATGTATTTTTACGAGATTATTTAAATACCACAACGTAGCTATTTTAATACCGCTGTGACAGCCAGATACACAGTTTCAGCTACTCTTTTCTACATACTTGCTGCTCAATTAAACAGAAAACAATACAGTGGAACCAGGAACAGAACCTTTTTGAAAATTTGTTTCATAGTTTATGGCAGCCTCATTATGGTAAAGATCACGCACCCGCTCTCTGATTGGCCCGCTTCGCTTTCGCTACGCTTGGCCAATCGCATTTATTCCCTAGTTTTCATTTGATTTTTTACCTCAATCGTTTAGAAAAAATACTCAATACTTTAGTTATAATAGTTTCCTTTGAACTATTGGATGAATAAGTGAATTGCCAACTTACATTGTATGTTCAGCATTAATAAAAGTTACGTAAGAATTTATATTGTTTTTTATTTCTTTCTCCTGATTTAAGTTTTTCGGTAGACATCCAGTATTCGTTATTCCACCGAATAGCACAAAATAAGTCGAATACCGAATATTCGTTGCAACTCTACTTATATAGCATTGACTTCTAGACAATAAATTAAAAATACGACAGTACTTTATGATCAATATGATAAATAATTTTTATTTAAGTTGCATTCATCATATTCCTGATTTTTGTTTTTCCAAAATCCTTTGCATAAATTCCTAGATATTTAAAAATGATTCGTCGTTATAGATAAAGCTTAAAAATTGATTATGCCAAAATTGTTTTCACAATAATCTCAGTACAGTTTACAAAAAAACTGACCTCGAAAGTACGTGGAATTACACATAATTACCAAGTTTTATTGAAATCGGTTACCGGAAACTGCGCAAACCCGGATTCATCACCTAGTTCGCCACTACACGGGACTTGACACGGGACATAATAAAAATCGGTTCTCACTACTCAAAGTATATTGAGAGATAAAAACGCCTTGAATTAAAGAATAGCAAAATCAACCATTAAAATAATTGCTCATTATACTAAAATTTTAGGCGCTATTTATAAAAATGAATCTTTATGCGTGAACAGCCACCCTTAGAGGTGGATGATTTTCTTAAAAATTAAATGGGACCACTATGGAGGTACCCTCTTTCCAACAAAAAAAGAATCATGAAAATTGGTTCACAAATACCGGAGTTATCGCGTAACATACATGTGTTAGCAAATTCTCAAGTAAAGACTTGGGTAAGTAAGGTAATACTTAAGGCACGAAAGGAAACAGCTTAATACAATTAAATTGAAAGTGTCAATCATTTATTTCCTTTTAAGCAAGTAATATACATGATAGTTCGTTACTGAATTACATAATAAAAAGACAACAGTT